TTCTGTTTCTACGCAGATGAACAAACGCGTGTCATGCTCTCTAATCGAGGTAACGTCTACATCAACGCAAGTCTGGTGGTAAGCAATCAGTACATTGTGCTGACAGCAATTTCCGCCCTGTTTTTGCCGACACTTAGTTTATTAAACAAAACTCCTCATTTAATGGTAGAGGGACGCTTACCGACCTTTTTTGCGAAACTCACTCGTTCCGTTGTGCTTTACGGGCTCTAACTCTCGAGCCCAGTCAGCAGCCGCACAGCGGCGCATGATGTAGACATAATGTTATTACCGACAAAGACAAGGTAATTGCATTCTACTCCTCTTTCACTTACACAGTCGCCATACATATTTTATTGTCTTCTAAACCCCTCCAAGGAAGCCTGCCGGTTTTCCGAATTAGGTCAGGCAGACTTTTCAATACTCAGCTTTATCGTTGTAACTGACACACATACACACGCTTGGTGTTTTTTGTCAAAATGAAAAGTGTTTTACTGAATATTAAAAAACTAACCTCAGAAAACAGTTGTTGTCGCCCCCTCCACTGGAGGTAAGCGTCGTTTTAGCGACTTTGGCTACTGTGCTGGGGGTCGGTGGACGAACTAGAAGGTCCCCTTGCCATCCACAAGGTGACTGCGTCCACTATATATGTGACATCGCGGCTGCTCATAGGTCTTGCTTCGGTAACGGGCACGTTCGTGAGGACGGTTGCAACTTCCAGCGGAAGCATTTTCGTCCCAATGATATTTATGAACTTCACATCCTTACAAGGGTCAAACTTGTATCCTGATGGCTATGCTGTGTCCAACATGGGCAACTTACCGTATCTTCCATGTCTCTAAAGTGTAGCCATTCTAAACTAAACCACCTGTACGCCTTCAGACCAGCAGTCTCCCTAGGCCACCCTTATGTGCATCAACTGCTCCACTTGCTCACGTGGAGCGGGCCACCACAGTCGAATGGGTATGTGCTTGGACAAGAGGGCAGAAGAAAATATGCCAGCATGATTTGGAAACGGAGAAAAGACCTTTGCATAACTCCTTTCTTGCGCACTTAGTAGAGACATGTGGACTCCGTGAACGCCAGCTAGTTGGTCAATCGAGTTCCAGCACGATTTCTGAGGTGGCCACAATGGCGCTTACCTGCAATGTGGATGGACGACAACAACCAGGCTACGCACGTACAGGCCCTTCATTTGCTGCAGCCAACTGTCAGTTAGCTGATTATCCCTAGCCAGGTAGTATCAAGCCGTTTGTCCCAACGTTTTCACGGCGTCGGATTACTAGTGCTCTGGCCTGCTCCTTCATTTGCTCCAATTGCGGACCAGCCTCACTGCACGTCTGATCGGTTATCGACGCAGGCCCAGCCTAACCACACGCCTAATGGTATTGGCTCGATCAGAAATCACCGAACGCGCACCTGCTTTCGCCAACTTTTTGCTGAATTTCACAGGGAAAATTCTCACAGACTCACAGGGCGCCGCGATACACTGCTAAATGCAGACACTGGCATCCAAGATTCGAGTTCACAATAGCATGTGCTTTAACTACTGTTTAGAAGCTGATTTTCTTCACACAAACAGTCTTCGATGTTGCACGAAAAATTTGTAACTGACTTACTGGAATGCCTTCGAGAAGGATGACCGACTATGAGACTATGTCTTGCCTATCTTGGTTATTTTGGAACCATTTTCTAGCTTTCGCTCTACGTACGGGGTTTCCGACAAGACGGGTTTCATTTACTAAAGATGCACTCTCTCGGAGTCGTATGGTAATCAGTAGGAGGAGTAGGAGAAAAGTTCTGCCCCCCGTTTTTCTTACATTGGCATGAATGTGTCGATTAAATCCACGAGAGTGACATGGGGTAGATACCTGATCAGGTGTGTTACCACATGTATGGATGACCGCTCTCAGTGTTGCTTGGTTGCTTGTGGCTTGGCGTCCTTCTCATGTTACAAGGACTTGAGTACTTTAAACTGTCAGAAAGATGACTTCCAAATTACAAGTTCTCATTTTTTTTATTGATTCCACTCTTAGGGTGTTCATTTTGGCTAATATGTTTGGTCCTTCATTTTGTGTGAACAGTTCGTGTTCTATTCTGCCAGCAGTAATGCCTACTCGTCCTGTCCATTTACATCACGGTCGGGAGGCAATCAAAGGGTTGAGAATCTGAGAAGGAAGGACAGATCACTGGAACAAGTTTACTGGCAGGCTGCCACTTTAAATCACTCTTTTTCATTTGTTGACTGACCATGCAGGCAATTCGCCACTGCTACGCACCAATCAGAGGTCAGCAAACAATCCTAGCAGCGGAAGCAGATAATATCGGCCAAGACAAGGCCGGCCCGATGGAAGGCCGCGTAAAATTTAATTCGTGTCTCCCTGCAGGGCAGGTTTTGACAATTGGTGGCAGATCCGGGTGTCCGAACTGTCAATCAGTCAGCAATTTATTCGAGTTGTCTCCACGTCCTTCTTAGAGTGCACTTTTTGTAGCGAAATTAATTTAACTACGCTCCCCACGGAGGTACTCGCTTGAGATCAAGACATATTTCTCCAGCCTTCTGTAGTTGTATGATACAGCTATGGATCGTTCGACTCGTCAACTCGCCTCTTCGCTGTACCTACGTCATTTTTGTCCTAACACCAGTTTGTGTTATGAAAATAACAATTCTTTCTCGAAGCCTTTTCAAATATGAATTTAGGTCAAACAAGTGGCAAAAGTTGCCAGGTCCAACATTAATTTTGATTTAGAAAAGTTAGCTGACTGCTATCGCGCTCAGTAGATAGGGCTTTTATTAGGGATCACACGAGACCATAGTTCCTAATATATCTTTACCCAAAAGTCGGTTTCATCTCGCATTGGTTTAGGATAAAACAAAATATCTCTCGAGAATGTTAGGGAGTGCTTCGGGCTACAAAACGTCTCTTTCAAAAAGTTCGGTAGATGAACGTGATGAAAGCTCATATGCTAAGAATCTAACGTAATTTGTACATTAATAAATAAATTCAGAGAGGCCGAAAAGCGGATGAGTTATTTGTTTTTTCATTCCTCGGACGGCGCTTTGCTGCCGTGATGACGTTCATCAGTTGCGCAAAACAGAAAACTGGCCTATGACTCCCAACGTATGCCTAGTGCACGCCAAATGATGGCCATCTGGAGTTTGCAAGGCTAAGGCCGGAGCAGGATAATTTTCACATTGGCAGACCGCTTCAGGAAATATCAAATAAGCAGGCAACCCAAATCCATCCACGAACAGGCCTTTTCAGCTCAGGAGATATGTCGATCTTTCACAGTTTTCAAACTAGTTTTACGTTACAACTAAGGACTGTTGGGTATTTTCAAGTACTCTTCGTCATTGGAAAGTTGTAGAAATGCTTAAAAATTCCTCAAGTTCAACTTTGGGTAGCTGTATTTCAGGTACCTGTTCGATAGTCTTGTTATGCATATGTGTATGTAACCAAAACGCCTTCCCTTCTTTCTCCCACCGCGCAGTTTGATCATGACCCACGCACTCCGACCTACATTGCTGCCGAGACGCCACTGCCTGGTACGGTGGCTGCCTTCTGGCAGATGGTGTGGGAGCAATTCGCAGTGGTCATCGTCTGTCTAGAACCAGAGAGCGCCCTCGAGCAGTCATCGGAGGACTGCCTTGGCAGCGGACACGACAACCCTGACACAACCACTCAGGCTCGCTACTGGCCCCCGGAGGGCTCTTCGGTGTATGGTAAATTCGAGGTAAGACAGCATGCCTGGTCGTTTTCCCTCAGCCGCTTCGTTTTGCGGCCGCGTACATACTTCATTTCTTCACATCATCCCCACAAGTTTTAATGACTTCCTCCCGATTGTACAGAGAACTCATTGCCATCACCCAAGGTCATGTCAGGATATGCTGATAGATACATGGCGAAATTACAGTTTCAGCTTCATCTGTTGGGGGCAGCAACCGATTGGCCGTTATGATTCGACATACTCTTCGGCCGAAAACGGTTTGACGGAGAGGAAGCAGCTGACTTTAGCCCTTGTGTTACACACGGTTTATTGACACGTTCCAGTTTCCTGCCATAATAGCAGTTTAAATTCCCTCGTTTTTATTATAAAACAGTGTGGGGGGTTTCGGAATCGGCCAGCGCAGTCTGCTCAAGAATATCAGGCAAAGTGAGTGACCGGAACCGCCTGCTTCATAAAAGACCGTCAGGCTTTTTGGAAACTCTGTGATATAGCACCATGGACCTCTATTAAGGAAGCTTGCCTTCCATCACTTCCTTGCTGTCCAGCTGCACCAAATCGAAGTGCCATGGATGCAAATTTCGGAAAACTAATTAGGAGGGCTTTCAGGGACACATTCATGCTCAAACTATCCAAAAACCTCAGGATACAGATATTCGAAGAAGTAACTACTATCTACTCTATGGCATCTGCCGGAGGAGACGCGATATGCGACCCAACTCTAGTTGTGTGGATGTGCGAAAATATCTCAAGCCTCCGATAAAACGCAGTCTTTATCAGTACTATGTGGACATCTGTTGTCTGTCTGACTGAGATTAGAATCCCAGACTCCGAGGACACCGAAATTCTGGTGTAAACTTCCATATCGCCCTATATAACAGCCGTCCCTGTGACTCCTCCGGGGCAGACCAACAAAATACTACTTGTTAGAGAATCAGTCAATGACCAGTTAGCCTACGTAAGACTGTAATGGCAAATTTTTTATACCTCATTTCTTCCCGCTTACGCCCCAACATTAGTTCTTGACCAGCGCGACAATCAAGCCGTCTATGCGCAGCCGCGATAGCTGATTGAAAAACTCTCTCACGGGACTTTGCTTATTATTGCTGCTAAGTGAAATGAGTGAACTGGACCAGACAACTCTCTAGACAACTGCCTAATTATGAGACTGCAATGCCGTTGCGACTCCAAAGGCAGAATTTTATTCTTGCTCTGCAACTCAAGTCGAAGGAGGAAGAGACAGTGATACGTGGCCATTATTTACATCCCCTGTCCTCAAGACGGTTGAGAGAGTTCTCGAGTTCACGCAAAGCTCTCGTTGTGATTGGATCATAGCAAACACCCAACTGTTTCTCGGATGACCTCTCGAGCTAGACCTCACAGACAGCATTCCTTCTGTAACCACCGTAAAATGACGGTGAAGCGAGTTGTAGGAGACCACTAAAGTTATCGGGTCGAAGCAGCGCCTTCCATGTAGCAAGTCTCAGACATCGGCCATACTTCAACTCTGTTAAGTTATTCGTCAAGTTATTGGTAGACCGTTTGTGCGAACTTTTGCTGTATGATTGGCGACTTTATTGCCTACGTCTGGACCAGGATGTGGGCACAAGCGTGAGCACCTCAGCCATCTTCGCGGATCTGATGACCAACTCGTCGCCACCCCATTAGGGGCCTGTGTGCTTTAAGGCGAGCGGGAACTGCAGGTACTTGTCTACCGCTATCTGAAAACCGACATTTGAACGAACTGCACCAACTTCGTCTCACGACGACAGCAATGCGAGAATATTTGAGACAGACGTTTTGTGTGGTTTGGGCGTGTTCAGTGCTGCAGCTCATGATTCGGTGCTTTTGCCAATCTGTAGGTGTCAGAGAGAGGGTCGACCAAAAACCTAATTCGGCCGAGTCATTCAAGACATGATGGTTGTGCTTGAACCTTCATTGTTCGGTCTCTGCAGCTGAAGTTAAGGGGGGTCGAGCTCTCCAAGTACGTTGCTCCAGATCGCATGAGTACAAACATGTCAAGTGCAAGTATATTTTCGCTTACAGACCTTTCTTATTTCTCCACACTACCATAAGTTTCGAGAAGGCGATAAATGGCCTGCAATAATTTGCACACACATACTTGTTTATTCCTTCTGGACACTGCTAATTCCGCTGGCGTCAAGCGTTTCTGCCCTTGTGTCATTAAGTGTCTATAAGCGGAAATAAATGAATCCTAGGCCTCCTCTGTGTTCGTATTTAACTGAAAGTGCTGAGACTTCTTTCCATAGTTATTCTTTTCAACAGGTCATTTGTTCGGGGCTTTCGGAGTAATTAATCAATCCAAGAAGATCAACCGTATCTCACTGTATAAGTAGCGTCATTCAGCGTTTGCTAACGAAACGGCACGCAGCAGTGTTTATAATGAGCGTAGGGGACTGTCGTTCAGAAAGAAATCTTTGATTGTTTTGGGATGTACGGCATCCCCCCGTCTCTTCTTAAGGCGCCTGCGGCCCCTACAGCTCCCACCCTGGTCTTCAATCGCAGTAGATCTTAAGGCTAAATCTCTGTCATCCTCCGACTTGGGCCTATGCATGCAGATTTGCCGATCGCTAACTTCCGGTCCTTGAACTATTTCTTACTCGTGATGCGTACTCCTTCCCGATCTTTTGCAAAGCGTACTCGCCGGAACAGCGTGAAAGCAAGAAATCGTGTTTGCATCTTAGCCTTGACGTTATAAATGAGCCACGGGCTCTTTACACCAACCCCAGTAAGTCATATCTTCCTAGCTGTTCGAACTCACACTAAGCGCACTACTTTTTTTTATACAGGTGCGATTTGTGTCTGAGCACAGCTCCAGTGGGAACTTCGTCATCCGATCCTTCTACCTTAAAGAGGTCGATTCCGGCGAAACGCGAACCATCACTCAGTTCCACTTCCTAAAATGGATGGAGGATGTGCCATCGTGTGAAGTGAAAACGCTCCTAGATTTCAGGCGGTAAGTTAACAACGTATACTTTTAATTGGGGGCTGTCTAGTCAACATCTAATTTGAAGATGGACATGCACGCTGAGGCGTTGGACCTGCTTCTGTTTTTGGTGTTTAACTGTTCGATGGCTGGTACTTTTCCCTGGTTCTTTTCACACATGTTATTTTTTATCCGTTAAACAAGCAAGCTTCCGGTAACGTCACTGGCGATGATCCTAGACCTAAATATATGGCCTGTGATCAGTTAATGTAATGTTTGCAGTTTCTCGTGCTGACTTGGCTCATTTAACGCGTTACTTTTATTATAGATTATTTTGAATCTCCTAGTGAAGTTGTAGACAGAGTCGACCCCAAAACTTCATAGAGATCCGAATTGACTTCAGCCAGCTTCAGTGGGTATAAGAAAACTATGCCTTTTGAACTACTAGCAGCGCACACTTTTCACATAAATGTATTTCACCATGCTCTCCATATGAGTGCTAGCTAACGACCCTGGCAAGTGAATCGCCGATATTTCTGTTTGTGCGTGCGGCAACTCTGAAGGCTTCAGATCGTCTGACGAGTCCCCCAACTTTCCCCATATGGTTTACAGTGTAATTGTAGATTTTCATTTCACCATTATAATTTTATATAAGTACATGTTTTGGGAGTGTGGTTGTACAAAGTTGGGTCGGATATGGTTATGTAGCCCCGTCTGAAGTAAACAAATCCCAATCACCTCTAATACGATACCGGTGGAAATAGGGCTTTTTACAGGTGGGGCAGGGGAACGCAAGGGCGACGACGTCAAGAAGTTGTGTGCAAATGAAAAGCTATTAGGGATGCGCGGTTTACTTTGAGTGGTTGAGAAATAGTTGCGCTAACCCCTAACCCTAACCCTTAGCTCCAACCTCAACAGCATTGTGTCCATAAGGTGGGGCTATCGAACCACATCCTACCCAAATTTGCATGCATTATATATGATCAGACCAGTTAAGGTGACCAAAACCAGCTCAGCTCTTAGCGCTTTAAGTCCCAACCTAACAATTTCAGTTGCTGGCACTTAACCCCAAGATATTTCAAGACAAAGTAATGATGCTGAAATTGAAATCTGAAGTTATATCATAAATCACCTTGGGAAACCTGAACACACACCAATGATTCCTAGTCCTCGCATTTGCGTCATGCAGTCAGAGAAGATCTGCAGAACATGTTTCCGGGTCCTCTGATTTCCCCTGGTTTTTTTGCGTATGGACTTTATCGTTCGTTCGAGTCCACCTTACACTAGAAACTTACAACTGTGATTTCGAACTTGAAGTCTAGACTGTTTTCTCCCCACTAGAAAAGGCATAGTACTGAACAGCCAGTGGTGGATTTCGCCAAATTTAGGTTCTAAATTCCTTTTACTGACACCAATGAAACTGTCCCTATGCGTCTACAGTGAATGTAAGAACAGCGAGAGGGCGCGCTTCCTCCGCAAGAGTGGCTAAGGCGCACTGTTTGTGCGGTCTACCGGCTGCTAACGTCCTATCAAACGCTGAATAGGTGCTCACCACCATGCCATATAACGGTCCGGGTAGCAGCTAGGGAGAGCCCCTGTCGTCCGATTTTCGCATGTATGTTTACACAATGGTTCGCCTATTGACCACTACTTGCCTCAGAACATCGGTGACCTGCTGTAACGGAGAGAACTGGCGCAGCCACGGCCCCACTCTTCCCTACACTTCATACCTTCAGATGACCGGACATGACGACTGGAAGTCGGTGTTGGTGCAGTGAACGACCAGGTATTCACCGGTCTCTCAAATACCAGGCAATGCTGTTGGCCAAGGGAAGCAAACCGGGATTAACTCACTCGGATATCTCATCAGCGTGGGCTACCAAGAGACCACGCTAAAAAGGGGTCTCTGCAGACTGACACTAATTCAGGGGGGGGGGTGTCGAGTTATTCCTCGATGTTTGCTATATTTTACATTATCAGAAGACGAGGTGGTGAGCATACGTAGCTTCCGATAAATTCTCGTCGGGCCAGTACAATTATATGGGAAGGGGTAGAAGTAAAACACGTCAGTGATAATATAAATCGATAAAAGTTCGTCTTAAAACACCGGCAGGGTGTGGGAATGTGGGGGAGGGGGGGTGGTAGCAGTCAGTGTCAGGGTCGGGGCGAGAGCGGAAGGGCGCAGGAGAGTTGTAGCGTTAGTCAACCTTCAACCACTGTAGGCGCGGAGCCTGAACGTCGTTCTTCTGTGCGCACAAGATTGGTTTTCGCAATCTGATGGCGGCCGCCTCTGCTGTTGCTAACAAGCGCTGTCCAGCGGTTTAGGATAGTTCGATGGGACCTTATAGATCAAACGAAACACTTCATGGGTGTCTACATGATGTCCGGAGTCGACCACATGCGCAAGAATGGCGCTGCTTATGCTCCTAGTTTCGCCTTTTCCCAGCCATGCCGTGAGGTGTTCCCGTATTCTCTTGGATAAGCGTCGACTCGTGCGACCAATATAACCTGCTCCACAGGAGCAACTGAAGGAATAGATGCACATTGAAGTGGTCTGGGGTGGCATCTTATCAGTACCTTCTCTTCTGACACTGACTGCCATTACCCCCCCCCCTTCCCCCACATTCCCACACCCAGTCTGTGTTTTAAGGCGAACTTTTATCGATTTATCTTATCACTGACGTGTTTTACTTCTACCCCCTTCCCATATAATTGTACTGGCCCGACGAGAATTTATCGAAAGCTACGTATGCTCGCCACCTCGTCTTCTGATTTTGCGTTATGAAATCACCACACGCATCACTGGTTGCCCACCCAAAAAATTGTATTTGACCGAATCCCGGGCCAGAACCCAACCGCAAGGGCGGAAGAAAGTGTGTACTGCTGCCTTTTAAGTGAGAAGGGGCGTGTGGGAATGTCCAGGGTCGGACTGAAATTCAACCAATCAGACAGTGCCCTTGAGTGCCTAGTATGTCGGCTGGACTACTGGCTCGTCTGACTGGCTGGACGAACCACCAATGCTGTTGGGAGCTGGCTTGACATCGGCACGGAGTGTCGGCGGATCGTCAGGACATCGCCCTAACACTAGGCCGTCGCCACAGCTCAATTGCGCGTCACTCGGGTAATAGCAATGAAGGAGCGTGCGCAATCATTCTCTACCTTTTAAATCTCCCCTACGGTGTCCGTAGCAAGGCTGGGTCAATCCGACTGGAATGGGGATCAGACGAGGTGACTGGCCATTACGCCTCCGTTACTGGTACGCCACGCACGTTGATGGTCCCGGTTCGCTCTGACGCAACAACCATTCATGTCGGTTCTTCACACACACCCCTTCTAACACTGTATCCGCATTTCTGAGATGTGATCTGGGCAGTTAGCGTGTCCTGCGCCTATCTGTGCACTGTGATATCCGGGAAAGTGCACTTAGCGCAAGCAAATCCCGATATTCTAGGCTGTAGTCAACCCCGCTGAACCTATTGCTTTCTCTTGCTACAATTAGAAGCAATAGGTTTGCAGAACAGGGATTTGGGTGGGCAAGGACCTTTCTTTGCCGGTCGTCACAGTTTACTGACAAAAGGCAGAGCTGATTAGCGTATTTTCCTAGTGAGGGCAAATAATCTGTTTTGACACATTTGATTAATCCACCCTGCCAGATTATGAAAACTCACTGGCTAGGATTCGAATCCCGCCAAGACCACTGAGCTCTCACAAACGGGTTAGCTGAATTATTCAAATCCGTTAAAAAAAACAATTAAAAAGTGAGATTGATAGTTATCTGGTGGATGCTAACTTGACTGGAGAATCCGCATGGACAGTCAGCATCCTTTGTCAGAATTGATGAATTTCGGTGGACACTTAAACCAAAGTGTGGTCAAATTCACTGTTCTCCATCGGGGGATCGTAGCTCAGGTTGTCAGAGTGCTGGCTGTACTCAAACCTTGCCTTTGCTGTCGTTGTTTCGAATCCCATGGAGGCCACCCAGGTTTTCACAATTGTGTCAGCTGAAAAATACACTAACCAAACGGAGCTATCCTTTTGAATTCTTTCTGAGATATCCACAATGGTAGTCTGGTAATGTTGACATGGACGACTACGCAACTTTCTGTCACCGAAGAATGCAGGTTTATTCGTCCTCGGGTGCTGCAGTGCGCCATGCCCCCCTATTACCTTCACCATATGCACACGGGCTTTAGGGGGAGATTTGGACCACTTACTAGTGATGGAGTTAATATCTTCTGACATTCAGTCTCTTTTCCTCGGATGAAGAGCGGCCCCCATCACACATCCTACCGTTGACATCAAATCATAAAACAGTCTTAACTGGGATCCCTTTACAAAGAGGATTCAGTGAAAGGCTGAGGATGAACAGTTACTTAGGCCGGCTAGACTGTTGAAGCCACAGACTTCTTTTCTGCTGCCAGAAAAGGCTTTATGCGATGACTGTGCGATTAATCCTGTCACAGTATGGTCGCTCGGTCCGCCCGCAATCACGTGGCTCATATCGCCATGCCCGCTTCTCCCTATTTATTATCTTCTTTGGCCTTTCATGAATTCTACTCGTATTGCAGGGAATGAGGGTCTTAATAGGTATAAGGCCGCCGTTCGCGCTTTAAATGTATAATCTCTTTTTAGGTTTCCCCATCCTCTGTCCTAATGCATATCATCTTGTACTTTCAGGAAAGTTAACAAGTCCTTCAGAGCAAAGAAGAGCCCGGTCGTGGTGCACTGCATGTGAGTTTGTTGCCAGTAATTCGGCTTCTTACCAATCTTTCAGTTTCGCTGGAATACTACGCTTACCGCCTCCTGCCTGTCTATTAGATGAAAAATAATGTAATAGCCGTGTTATTGACCTAAACAAGTTGCCTCCTAACGCACGAAAAGGGGGAAGTTTTGGATGATAACCAATCAGGGACAAGCCGGGCCGTAGAGGGAGTGTTCTTTCAGCCATTGCCTCTACATCTGATTTTGATTTCTGAGTGTGAATCAAATACGTCCAGCTTGTAGGACTTGCTTTCCAATAATTCGGTCTTCCCCCTTCCAAATAGCTCTTTATTCAGCTGGACAAATACTGATGCTAAAGGTAGGTAATTATGCTTATACTAGAGCCTAACGCCCTGGGACAGGGTAAACATCATTATGCTTCAATAATGTGGCAACTCCTGCGTGTGGGAATTGTCAGCGATTTTCCGACAGTCGGAGTCGGAGTCAGGAGGCTGACGAGGACTTTGACCAGAAGTGACTTAATTATACCTCAGCTCACATTCTTCTGCGCAACTTCTCTGACAAACAGTCTTTATATCCGGTTGAGGGTGATCACCAGGCGCTCATTGACCTCCACCTGTCCCCATCCGAATAACTGACAGTGACGCTCACCAATTCGAACCCCCGGTTAGGTGTTTCACGAGATTGTAATAACCTAGCTAGTCAATTGTCCCGTCGCCAGTCGACCAAAAAACTCAGACAGGCCACTGGTGTCTGGGCGAGTGAAGAGAATGTAAGGCCGGTCCTGGGGACTCCTTCCTTGTTGCAGAGCACCTCCTCCCCACGAATAAAAAATCCCCTGCTTTTTGCACTATTATAAGGCGTTAGACTGCTGGCTGACAGGGATAAACAAGTCCCAATCCGAGCTATGAATCGGTCTGATATGCTCTTCATAGCATTCTTGTTCGTGTGAGATCTGAGACCCTGCTTGACTCACGTTAAACAGAGACTTCACGTTAAGTCGGTCTCCGCGTTCAATCTCACTCAGAGTTGGCTTGAATCAGACATGTCATTGGTGTAGGGCAGAGGGAAGTGAGAGAGAGTTTGATCCAACTTTCATTCAATGCTTAGATCTCCTGTCACAGACAACCCAGTTCATTTTGAAAATACCACGACGTTTTAACAGCCGTGTCTTGGAGGTTTGTCAACTGACGGGAGAACACAATCGTATCCGGGACCGAAAATTTTACTGAAACTGCCCCATCTTTATGGAAATTCGATAATCCTCCACCTCAGATAAGACCTGAGGCGCTTTAATGAAATCTGGCGCGTGTGGATTTATGGATCAGGTCATGTGTGCCACACGTTGATGGTGACACATATCACGGAGGGCGAAAGTGTTTACATCAATAGTTGAAAACAGGAGAATGTCTTCAGATCACTACACCAGGCCAACTTTATTAGCCATGTCGTGAGATCCACATCCGGTCTTTCTGATTTTGTCTTACCATGGGAACGCTGAGGGTCCTGAAAGAGACAGTGAGCTTGATGCGGCACAAGTCCGTTCTACTATAAAGAAATTCACGCTCAAGTCATGACCGAGTCCATCTCATGATGCAGTGGTAAACGTGGTCACCTGTGACGGTCGGACTGTGGCACGCCTAAAAGGCTTAAGTCGTTAAGTTCTGAAAGTGCGCCAGCGGAAAACAAGCATGGACGTTGCAGCGGAAGTCATTACCCATGGCAGGTTGTATTATGGTGCAGGATGGTCTTGTCGCAAGTTTCACGCAGAACGCCGAGACTGCTAATAAGCAATACAGGAAAGTAACTTCAACCCTCAATCTACTGAAATCTCTTTCAGACAGCCTCTTAGATCGAATGACGCAGAATCATACGAGAGGCCTGGAACAGAGCGGCAGGCAATCACCGATACGACCGTTTTCATGCTTACTCGGGAGGAAACCCCCAAAGTTCACTTGCCTTGTAAGAGGTGTCACAGGGAGTCTGGAAGAGGTACAAACCACTTCAATTACATCCGCTGCCTACCTGCCTATCAAATATTTGTTTCTACCAGTACTCGCACTTAAAGTCTAGTTTTGATGATCGGTGAATGCCTTGTTGATGCTGCTTCCGGGAGGAAGTCGAGCTAAGCCAGCACGAACGAACGTGGCCTAGACCTCGACATGACAATCCTCAACTCTACTGCAACCTACCCTAACAATGACTCACACACAGGGGGGACCCGAGTTCCGCAAACCTGGCCTCTCCAAACATGGATAAGTCAGTGCATTTGCTGTGCTCGGGACGCCATGTAGTCAACCACTGGCCTTGCTGATCGAAACCGATCTATAGCTCGCACATCTTAAAGACCGATTTACATGGTCTGCCACCAGGGAGGCCCAAACTGTCGTCGTGCACGAGAGCCACGCGATACGAACTCTTTATCCATTTAGATTCCTTAACGAGTTCACCGTACAATGTTGCATGTTAGATAGATGGGGTTATCTCTTCTGTCACTTTTAAGACGAACAGCTAAAAGACTGAAGACAGAAGACTGGCGGATCAGTCGAAATCCCAAAGCAGACCTCCAAAAATAGGTTCGGAATCTGAGCTCTCCGTAAACATTTCTCTTTGCGAATGAGACTGACACCCTAAATGTGCGCCTGAACACAATTAAAGAAAGAAGTAGGCACGTAAAAGCTTTTGAAAGCTTTATGAATATGCAAAAACCTAGTTTTAGGTCAAAAGCCGAAGGCTTAAAACCGAAATACAACCCTTCTAAATATTAAATTTCAGCGAACTAACAGCAATAAATAAGAACTTAAAAATCCTACCAAGGGAAAGCAGCTGTATAACATGGAAGTTTATACGTTTTTTTATGTATGGATTTATTCTCCTTGGGAATCAAACTGCCGTCTTCGAGGAAATACGTTCAGTGATATTTTTTGTCGCCGTCTGTTTTCTTGTATTTATCCACACTGACTTGCCGCCTTACTACGCTATTAAGTCTGCTCCAGATAAGGAAAGGGATATTTCGAAATCATTCTACTGACCTGTAGAAGATTCCCTTTTACTCAAGTTTGGTAAGACTAGTATATAAACACCCGCCCTGGAATCCGCGCACGCATGACTGCTGCTTGCTTTGTTTCAATGCGTGCTACTATTATTGAATTATCACGCCAGCTGTTTCCTGTTGGCAGAATTTTTATTCACTTTTAACCCTAGCAATGGCTCTAACTCCTGGCCTACCATGACCACGCAAAGCACGAAATTTGCATTTCGTGAGCCCTCCCATTACTAATTGCCGTCCTTTTATTCGCCCCACCCAAACAACCCCCTGTCTTCCTTTTCCGATTTTGCGGGTGGTCTGGAGACAGGGGAGAAGGAAGGGGAGGAAGAGACAGTTTTAAGCCAGTCTGACCCTCACTTTATCTCCTAATTGGCTGGGTGCGGCAACCTTCTTTCTTTCGCGAAATCTCTCCTGTGGTGATGTTGGGATTTCTCAAGCGCAATGGCCGCCAGTCGCCCTGTTTGGATCGCGGCGGGGGAGGCGGTCTGTCCTCCGAAGAACTGTCATATTGAATGCTACCTTAGCTACCCCGTAATCACTCTGCCGGTATATCGTCCCCTAAAACGGCCTACGCGGTAGGTACGTTGGATCAACACAAGGGCTAGCTCGGAGTACGGTAGGCGTTATAGGGGATGCGCACCAACATTGGGATTTGGCGGCAGACCCAGCTGCAGGCTCGCATCGCACCATTTGGGATGCGTGCCGCCCCTCCTCCATCCGTTTTTTGGTTTATAAAATCCTGGCCAGTGTCCGTTGTGGACCGGGGGGTGTGGTGGTGCGCATAGGTGCGGGCTTACGCCCTGCCAGCCACCTGCGGCCTCTCCTGCCTCCTGTCTTCTTGACTCTGTCTTGACGCGGAGCCCAGGTGGGGGGGGGGGGTGGAAGTGCGGTAGATGCCGTGCAAGTCCACCATCACTATCAACTAACGCGTAATTTACGGTCCCTGCTCTCAATCCCCTGTGGGACACGCTGTGGACATCGGCGACAACGACGGTCGAACTGTCTTATCACAGACATGCTTTGGGATCGCCATTTTTGGTTTCTGTGAATCCTGACGCATGCGCGACAGCTGTTTTATTTCATGTGCCTGCTCCGGGGGCTGTGTGATCATAATCAAGATTAGTAGTTTGATGATAGCGTTCTTGCAGTAGCTCTGCTTATTGCCTTCATCGTTAGCATATTGTCCATCCGGTAGAAGGGAAAAGGTTGCTTCGTGGATATTCAAGTACGGCTGCTATCCCTACTAAAAGTAGCGCCAACTCTGCCTTGAGCGATTTGTAAGACCCCCTCTTGTGGCATCGAACGAACCCGGATTTTTCGGTAGCCAGCAAAACTATTCAGAGGGTTCATTACCAGCATAGGAATGTACACAAAAGTGTTGGCATTGACGCTGAATAAGCAGTCCAGTATTTGCACTTTTTCTGTTGACCAAAGACCGAATCCCAGTGGAGTATTACGGGCCCCCTATGCGTTTTTAGTTCTTTTGGTCAACTGTATATTCGCTGCCGCAGACCCGAGTCGACATGTATACGAAAACATGAAAATCGTGCACATTGCTGCCATTGACATGTCTTTGCAGTAGTAAGAGGCATAGTACCGGACACTCGTTTGCACCATGCTGCGTCGACCGCTATTATTGTTAGTACATCAAACGTCCTGTGGATGAAAATGACTAGGCAGTTTTCATTTAGTCACTACGCATTGCTGACAGGGGGAAGGTACTGAGCGTTAGGCGGGAGCGCGTCAATGCCATGCTACTGATCTACCGGTCAGCGACTGGCACGCAGCCTTGCATGGGGTACGCCAGTGTTTGATGATGACAAGAAGTGTGACGGGCGCACGCAGTCACAAAGTCTGTGGGCAAAAAACCACTTGTGGCCTTGAAATGGCTGCACACCGTCGCCGGCCACTCGCAGCCCCATGGTCTACAGCATATGCATAATGATCTATATAAAACAGTATCGATCAGGAGGGGCAGGGTTTCGAAATTAGCCGCCTCAAGAGCTGCCAGAAACTATCGTAGATTTGGCAGGCTTTCCGCATTGATAAATTGGCAGAACATTAAGTGTGTCGTCGAATATATTTCCTATAAGCTTTCGATTACAATCAGAGTCCGCCCACTGAGTCTAGAAAAGATTTACTTCTGGAAGAAAGCAACATCGGATCCAGTGCTGGAAAAAAAGACCGAGGTTACTCACTCTCAACTACGACAGGCGTGGGGAGTGGTTTGGAAGCGGAAGGTCATATGTGCCATTTTGTGCTTCATTCTGTCCCCACGCCCTATTGGGCCCACATTACGTTTGCATATGCTCTCGATTTAGTTCGATTTTTGTGCGATTCACATTTTTTAAAAAAAAGAAACAGAAGGCTCTCAGTATTCACCTTTTGCCACTTCACGGCAGCAGTGCTGCTCACGCATCAGGCGCTACAGTGGTGGTACCGAGAGTTTGTGGATTCGGTCAAATATATCGCCCATTCTGTTTCGAAATGGCTTCTGCCTCCTGCCAGGATGTTATAAAGGATGTGAAGAGTGTAAGTTAGAAAGAACAGATAGGTTAGGCTGGCGAGAAATGTTTCCGTGATACCGAAAGCCCTGTGAATGCAACACACGAATAGGCAATCATTGAGACTATGTTTGAAAGTGGCTTTACTTAGATTCGGAACGTTTTCGACCCACTGACGTGTATCTAGCTCCTGCGCGTCGGTTGGAATACAAACGTACTTTAGCCGACCGAATTCTGAATGTCCAGTGGTGTTTGAGCGGTTAAGCATACAAGACGCCTCCGAACTTTATTGTCCCTTTCGCTGGATATCAGGCGCCTTTCTTGACACCGACAATCCTAGACTGGAGTAAACAGCAGTCCTTTAGCCCGAGGAAACCCAGTCTTTGTTTGAATTACGAGATTCCCATGCGAAAGTTGAATTTTACCTGTTAATTTATCAGTATCTTTTCCGCTTTAGCGATGGGTCTGGAAAGACCGGGACCTATCTTCTGATCGACTTGGTCCTAAACCGCATTAATAAGGGCGTAAAGGAGCTGGATGTCGCTGCGTCAATCGAACATCTGCGTGACCAGCGCCAAGGCATGATCAAGTCCAAGGTCAGTTTGTCGCTGTTGTTTCTGTATTGTTTTTGAAATTTAGTTGTCTGTAGAAGGAATGTAACTAGTGACAGAGGGAGAGAGTGAGAGGAAAATGACCATTTATTCTACCACCTTATCGATATCATCCCTGTAGGAATAATTACCTGTCACTACGCATGCGCCTTTCAGGACTTTCAGATTCGAGCGTTAAGACTGAAGGGAACCGAGCATGCTGCCTCCTGAATTAAGCACGGTATCCGGTTAGGAGCATCCCGTGCATGGGCAGTGGGTTGCATCCTGCAGATGGTGACTGCTTCTCACTGTTCTTAACTGGCATCCAGTCATCGGTGGCTCCCCGAAACTAGGCTCTGCATAGTGGTCACATTCTGATAACCGTATTGACCGGCGGGCTAAACCAGATCCGGTGTTGTATGTCCTCACACGCGGTAATTCTTCTCCCATTCCCCCCTCCCCTTCCGCCTCAAAAAGTCCTACGGAGAAGGCGACGTGCAATACCGTAGGCGGCCTAGGTTAACATGGGTTACGCTCCCACTTAACCAAGCCGTGACCCATAGTGGAGTTCGGCAGCTGTCTGAGATGTTTAAACAGCCCCATCCAAGGAAAATAGTGCCTACTCCCTCTCGGGGGAAGGGATTAGAAAGGGTATTTTGAGCAAAGGCTGGGATCGCGTCGTTCACACACAGACAGCGACTCACAGATGTACAACTCACGGTTGAAACATCCAACCAAACATCAACCCACGTCCCCACTCCCCACCCCACCCCACAGGTTAGTGGTTAGTTAGTCCGCTCACCCTGACAGCCTGGAATACTCGTCCTCTTTTATATAATTCGAGGAGCAACCGATGAGAAAGAAAAATGGCGCTAGGCGCTCTAGAACTGACGAGCTACAATGTGGACATTGTTGCTCTCAGCGAGACTCGCTTTTCGAACAAAGCTAACTGGAGGAGGTTCATGCAAGCTGCCTATTCTTCTGGAGCGGCATCGTGGAGGCAGAACGACGCGACTCTGGTGTCGCCTTTGCCATCTGGAACAACATCATAGGATGACGGACCTGTCTGCCGCAGGCCATCGATGATCGACTGATGACACTACGCCTGTTTCTTCGGGATCCAAATTCGCCGCCATCATCAGCGCTTACGTCCCCCCCCCCCCCTATGACGAGGCGAATGACAGATTCTACGAGGATGCCCATGCCCTTCTGGTGACTGTACTGAAGGCGTAGAAGTTGGTGGTCTTGGGTGAATTTACTGTCCGCGTCCGGACAGACTACGCTGCCTGGGAGTGTCGGGTGTCCATGAGCTCGGGGTCTGCAACGACAACGGACCCTCTTCTTCTACGAACCTACCCGGAACATCGCCCTCTTCACGCCGATGCCTTCTTTCGCCTTCCAATCCTGGGAAGGTGACCTGAGTACACCCACGGTCGTGGTACTAGCAGCAACTGGACTACGTTGTCATCCGGGGGCGAGATTGGCAGCACGTGCTGGTGGCAAACACGATCTGCGACGTCGACCGTTGGACCAACCATCACTCCTTATCTCAAAGATACAGTACAAGGAGCAAGCTGTACCCGGAGAATCCTCAATGTGAGGTTGCAAGACGGATTCCTGACACGGAAATGTTGGAACGTACTGGAACCCTCAGCACTCACGTTGTGCTGAGGCAACTACAACTGCACCGGAGAGACCACCTCATGAGGGTTATCCAAACGACTCTTCTATGGAGATGTCGCTACGGATGCTCGCCGACAAGAACAAACACTTCGCTACAGGGACATCCCGAAGAGCTCTCCAAAGCACTTGTAGATCAACCTGGTGACCCTGGGGATGGGTGGGGCATCGCCCAGGGCCGACCGACCCAGAGAAGAGCAGTGAAGTCTAGAGCAAGAATCTATAAGGTCAACTGGATCGCTGCTGCCACAGCCAAAAGAGCGGCTCTCGAGTCAAAGCGCCTCCGATCTACAACGCCAATACCCAACCATCTCCAACATTTTCACGATGCCTAGGCAGATTCGGCGCGCGGATCGGCCTCGTCAGACATCTCCGGATACGAATAAGACTGCGTTGGATGTTCTCGGCATCCATCAATTTTCATGTAATTGGGATTGTACCAAACAGGGCGCATAGTGTGTGTGTGTTGGGGGGGGGGGGGACTCAGGTCTTTAGTGTGCAATTCGCAGACGGGCTGTTCTTACCTCTGTCAGCCACCTCTCTCAATGTCAGTATCAGCTCGGAAAATCGACTGGGAGGAGACAGTGACATCGACAGTCTCGACGCATATTCCTCACTATAAACAATCTGATGCGTTTGAATCTTCCACGGTGCGCTAAATGTCTTAGCTCAAGAAGGATGTCAACTGACGGGATAACTCAGGCCTCGCAGTCAGGCCGGTGTGCGTTTGCGTTGAGTGGCCGACTGGTGGACTGAGATCAGACTGCAATGGCTACGATGCCCCTTACGGCAGTCTCACTCAGCTGGGATCCGAGTCGTCCCCACTTTCTTGTGGCATTAAATCCTGGTGGTTTGTGTAGACCAGGAGGCAGTGGTGACACGCCTAGGTGCAGATTCAAGCCGTGCCAATCACCTGCGCCCCCTCCCGCCTCTGTTCTTCTTGTCCCTGCCGTGACACTGGGCCCACGTGGCAGAGGAAGAGAGATAGAGTGTGCGGTGGATACACAACAAGTCTGCGATCTCGCGCTCAAGTCACCGTCCTTGCTTTCACCATGCTGTTGGGCGCACGGCGGACATCGTCGGAGTCAACGGTCGAAGTGCACAGTTAGGTTTTGTTAAAGCGTCTGCAGTTTCAAGTCCACAGGTCATAGCCGCTCAGCGCTTTTCAGGCGCCCATGAATCTCCCTCTTGCATTGACGAAGTTGTTCAGCTCTTGTGACACTTTGCCGGTAGCCTTTTTATTTCCCAGTAGTTTTCTCCTATTGAGGGTCTCTTCGACCGCTTGTGGATGATGCTCGCGTTCTCCCCCAGATCCACGCCTTCCCATAATTATCGCCAGATTCTCAAATGAGTGCTGGGGGCCCGAAGCTTCAGAGGTTTAAACCTGTAGTTCGCACGTTTTTGGATGGATCTTCTTAGCAGATACCAATCATACGTTAGAGAGGCGAGAGATCTGAAAGGCTCCACGCTTGGTCTGAACCGCGTGACTATTAATTTCAGCCCGTAGCCCGTATTTCAACGCTCCCACATTTTAATTGGGCAACTATGAGTGGGCTTCGTGCCAGCAGATCGTGCAAAACGATTAGGACAGGACTGTAGAATTAACGAGTAAAGTCTGGGTGCAAGTTAGAGAGCCGGTACGATATCTGCCAGCTGCAGAAGAGATTGACTTGAAACTACATCGGGACAGAGAGGTAGCCAAAATTCTCGAAGGGCAAGATGGGTTTGGGACGAGTGATTTCCGTAGAAACGACCGGTGAGCGCCCCTCTACCATTGTATGCTCCCGATTGCATCCAACGGGACAAGGAGCCCGTGGCTCAGTGGTTAAAGGCGTTAGACTTCTAACTAACAGGTCGCGGGATCGAGCCCAGGTGTTTCACACTTTGGGGTTGGGTATGACTGGCTGTCGGCGGCTAATAAGCCAGAAATGATCATTCCAATTTCCCTTGTCTTTGTCGGCAGTACCATTCTGCCTACATCAGGCGCCGCTGTGTTGCTGCTGCCGGGCTCGAGAGAGCGCCCCTCTACCAGTGAGCTCTCTGCTCACGTGGGATGATGTCGGCGGATATGGGGGTGGAGATGCAGAGAAGGGCTTAACTACATGAAAGTATGGTGATGAAGAGGACAAATAGAAAATAGAGCAGGGGAGATCAGGTAGCTTATCCAAGACAGCAGCCTTCATTGTTCCAACTGCGACAGCCTCCAACTTTTTGATGCGCTAGATAAAGGTTTTCCATGCCGGATCTTCGTACGGCAGTTCTAGCTACTTGTCCTCACCGCAACGCCACACAAGTTTATGACAGTATGGCATCAAGTGGTTCTCAGCGTGGGACTGTCATAGGGGAATCTTTTGTGGCCGTACGCTAGATGGATTAGAGCAGCCATCCCAGGCATGTTGGCGGTTGTGCTGAACAGTATTCTGGTGGTAACAACCTAAATGAGCCTGTTCGGAAAAAAGTGCAGGGAATTTTTCCGAGGCTCGCAGAACGATCTTCATTTGGTGGGGCAGACCAACGCACGTCTCAGTGTCAAAGTTACGGTCATAATGTAAAAGCACCCAGAGATTTTGTACAAAATACTCCGTTCCAGAAAAGAACTGCATGACAAGGTTAAGATGTTTTTTGCCTACAGGGCCGTTCAAGAACGCAGACCAAATTTTTTAAATTCTCATTGCTTCACTAGATTAACAAAATTAGGCAATGGGACAACGTGCCGCCGTACGTTAAGTAAGACGGTTATCACGCCGATAGATTTACTACTAGCAATTTAACTGCATTAATATTTGGAATGTGGTAGCCGGAAGAGCACAAGAAGTAGACTGGAGTCAGGGGGCGTTGGTTCCGGCTATAGGTTTATAATGAAAATGGAAACCTAGTCTCCACGATATCAGCTGACATTTATACTTTCTTTGCCATCTTTTAATGCAGGAGCAGTTCAAGTTCGTTCTGGCTTCAATCGCCGAAGAAGTGAACTCGATGCTTAATGCCGTGGGGTAATCGGTTCCTCGACCGTACGAGTTCAGTGAATTATTTCGGCTCTGGCTTCTTTTTCTTCCTTTTCGATGGTTAATCATTGTTAAATAAATCGATTAAATGTCTTGATACCCTTTTTTGTTTAGTGCAACCTTAACCGTCAGCGCACTGAAGGAGACCTTACGCCTGCAATGGCGGGCGCGGTTAACGTAGTTCCGGCGTTCATCTATAATATGGGACATTTGTGCGTAAATAATTGAATAAAATGATTATGTTACCGTGGTCTCTAAATAAGATAGTTCACTATGGTTTAAATCACTAAAAATCTACCCGTCTAACTCTTGCTTTCGTCAAGTCACTAAGCAACCCCTACGCTTTATTTGTCCAACACATGGGACTCCTTTCTTCCACGATCAGTTCACCGGCTGTATAAAAATAATAGTTAAGTATTACTATCCCAGAAAGAGGGGTATTTCTACAACCATTGCCTATGCTTTTTCGCGTAGGTGCAAAGGAGCAGAATGCTCTCATATTTGGCGAGGTGTTTTTGCCCTTCTCTTTGCACCTGTGTGAGCCAGTTTTGACCAGCAATACCACCCATATACGAAGAAGATTGAAAAAGCAACCGTTAGCTTGCTTACTGTCATCAGCTGACGATACCCCGTCTGGGCTTCTAAGTCATTGATTCAAACGCTCTTTTGCCCGAGTCATGAGCTCACCCGTTGCTGACTCTGGTTAAGAATATTATATCGCTTCGGGTCAACGGTCACACGTCCAGCCTGACTGTGGAACGTAGTACGGGCTTTCCGTTTTACCTTGGAGCGCCAGGCTTGTGCCTCCGAAAGCGGCATTTAGACGGCGATCAGTCATGAATGCCCATGAGTGACAAGTGGGGGTAACGAGGAGGTGGGCACCTGTACCCAGCCCGTTTGCTTTCGCCGACTACCCATGTCCCCCCCCTCCCCGCTATTTCGTCGATCGGACTGATCCCATTAGATAATTTATGAAGCTCATCATTCGGTAGCTGCTTATTCAGCAACAATAAACTATCTTGCCATTGGTTCTGTATTACAGTTCGTTTATATTTTGTTGGTCTTTATTATGCATCTAACTGTTATCTGCGGTCCAGGCTGCTACGTCCGGTGCAGGAGCTATAGTTGGTAACTGCCTCGACCGGTGGGCTAAATCAGGTAAGGGTGGCCCGTGGTGTTCCTCAAAACGGTGAAAATGCATGTGCAAAATCAGTTTCATTTTGCAAAGAGGGGCCAGCCAAGTTGTGGAACACAAGTCAGTCCCAGTCAACTCCTCCCGCATCACACCCTCAAGTACAAACGTCCTGCAGAGACGGCGGCAGTTAAGCTCCTAGACGGCCCAGGGTTTTCCGGACGTTTTCTCAGAACCCAAGTCGTGGCCCGTAGTGAGACTCCAGCGGGCCTAGGCGATCGATAATGCGGTGCCACGCTAAGACCAGGTCGAGAAAAGTCTAAAAAAACTGCCACGCCAGCACGGACTTAGCAGTCAACGTCGCCCAGTGAAGAACAAAGGCAGCGCGTGAAAAGTGAGTGAGACCGGAACTCACACCAGTTGGAGTGTCCGCGTGACTGATGGACGCCAACTTAAAGAAAAGTGAACAAATGCGAGTTTAGGGAATGCTTCACAAATGGGATGACCGTAGAAAGTTGTGTATAAACAAAAATCGGACAAAGGGCTGCCACGATACCCCCCGCCTCGAACAAAGGTCGGCGTAAAAAGACGCTGAAGGTAAATGCAATGCTAACACACTTGAGTGATAAGACTTTCAGGAAAGTGGACTCGACGGCCGCTACGAGTGGCGCGAATTGCAGTGTCATTAGAAGAATTAGGATGAGGGCTGTGGGGGGAAGTGGGGTAAGGGAGGGCTGGGGAAGTGGAACATTGGGTAGGGAAGGTGGAGATTCACGGGTAGGAGGTCAACATAGTTTTGTACCTGAGGCAAGTCGGGCTGCCGCTATTTGACATCATTTTTGACCTGATCGACACTGACCACGCCCTCCTTGCACCACGAAGGATCTGACAGGTCTTGGCACTGCGTGAGGGTACGCGGAACGAGCTCGCGGGATACTATTTGTTAGTCCGTGAGGAGATAATTTACGTCAAGACTCGACGGCCGTCTGCGGTACCTCAACAACCGAAGCTAGGTGAACCCTTTACTTTCCCCTGTGGAAAGCGCCTAAAAACCGCGTTGTTGCATAGCAGTTTAGCAAAACAGTATACAATACACGAGCTAAAGTTCACAGTCCGGTGTCTTCACAGAAGGTGCTGGGGTCACACTTTTTAGCCTGGCGACCTGAAGCGTTCGTTCTCATTTAGACAACCCGCTGAGTATTTTCCTAGAAGGGAAGACAGCTCTGGTGTGCCGTGAACTGGTACGCTACAAGGTGGGCATCTCGACTCTCAACCGGACCCCATTTTCAAAACAAGGACAATTGGAGGTGGTTGCCGTCTACACATTCCTTCGCCGCGGACGTCCGAATCCATATTGACGGGACACTGGTAAACTGAGAACTGGTTCGTTACAAGGTAAGCGTCGCTTAACCCAGCGACACTCGCTTCTCGGAGTATGAACAACTGAACGAGGTCAGTGCAGGTCACACCTGAGATCACTTATGAGGAAGAACGCCATGGTGCTAGAGCAGTTCTTCCTGTCGTGAGTGGGTCTCATTAGGACGACCATTTATCTTCCTCATAGACTCAAATACAGCATCATTTTAGTGGCTCTTCTTCTACGCTGAGAGAAATTCGTAACCATTATTGACGCCTGCTCCCATCCTATGTTGGGAAATGACAGCACCAATAAGTTATGCGAAGACCTGTGCGCCCACCCCACATCTGTATTGAATAGGGACAGTCTGTATTTCGATGAATTAGGCATCCAGTGAGCACCGACCACACCATCATAGAAAACGTGTTCGACTTTCATGAAGAAGACCTCTATCCCATAGGAAATCAAGCTTTAGCCTGCTTTGGACATTCCGGATCATTTGTGACCATGGTTATTTGCTGAAACCGGAGGGTTTTTTTGAGTTTGCCTGTGTAAATCATTTACACGACCACCCCTGCAAAACCAAAAACGAACGTGCGCGACTAGACCGCAGAGGAATTTCCTACTGTCAAGGCGTAGTCTGACCATAGAATACGAATCAAGTGATATGTTGACGACAGGAGTCATTTCTATGCATACATGTAAATATGCGTACATGTAAGTAGGCTAATGCAAAGCTAACGCACTTCTTCTGTCAAGGACTTGCACGAAGAGCAACATCCTTGTCAACAGTGTCATGTTTCAATCTCGCAAATGCAAGCGGAAACTACGGATGCACCCTCAAGCTAAGTGTCCGTTAGGACGCAAGATCGTCGTGATGTACTTGTGATAGAGATGTTACGAGGAACTGACTTCTGAACCGATCATCGTCTTGTCGTCTAGAAAATAATGCCACATATCCAACCGAGGAGACGGTCTCAGGGCTTGGAGGCTGAAAACAGTAGCACTGGAACTGACGGAATACAACTGGAAACCCGTCAATCAATGAAAGTAAGTTCAACCATATTTACATATTAGAAAATGAGGACTTCAAGCGTGTCTAAACAAGATCGCGCAACGTAACCCATGCAATTTGCCCTGATGCCACTGGACACACAGGTCAAGGACCGTAAGAATAAAATAATAACAATGACCAATAAATACAACAAGGGATATCTAAAAAATCCGGCATCATAAAACAACACATGATTGTGGCGTAAGACCAAAACTAAATCATAATATTTCAACGTCGTAGCAATCCGCGACCGATGTTAGGGCAACTGTGAGATAGCCAATCGACCGTTCAAATAGAAAAAATCCGAAGACATGAATATCACGTAGAATGAGAGAATCCCTACGCAACTACCAGGGTCGTTTGCGGTCTTGACTTAACACGGATTACGCCGTGCTCTTCTCGAGTTAAAACACATTTCTGATTGTATGGACGCAAATTTTGTAGCGAGGGGCGGGCCTATTAATACCCGTCCTTAACTGCTAATCCAAAATCAATGTGAGACCCAAAAGAGACTTCCTTGCATATTGAACAACGCCATACTCCATTGCCTACACTCCCCACAGATAACAGTCTGGGTTGTGCAACAGGTGTACAGTGTGCAAAATCCAGTTTCAGATCGCAATCCGGTTGAAATTTCCCAATTCCCATAACAGTTTACTTCACTGCTGTGAGACATGTGGCGTGGAGGAACATCCCACAGTGTTCGTACGATTTGGTCACTTCTCACTTCTATAAACCCAGAGTAAACCAACAAATCCTCGACAACCATCATAGGTCCTCCTTTCTCTTTACTGCCATATAGACTTAGCGTAATTCACAAATGTTTTTGCAGATCTTCAATAATTTATATTGACCCAAGTGTGAAAAACTCCGCGCCTCGGTGGTATAATTATAACGTAACTCGGGTGAGCCTGGGGTGTGGCACACTTCGGAGTTGTGTATGACTGGCTGACGACGGCTAATAGGCCAGAAATGGCCATTCTAATCGCCCTTGTCTTTGTCGGTAATATCATTCTGCCTATATCATGCGCCGCTGTGCGGCTGCTGGTTGGTCTCGAGAGAGCGTCCATAAGGCACAACGGAACGAGTGAGTTCCGTAAGAACGATCGGTGAGCGCTCCCTACCATCATGTAGCTTAACTGTCTGAACCAACACCTGGATCAAGGACCTCTTTCGTAGAACCAACGTCCGTTCTGCAGGAGTCGGCGCACTTCCAAGAGAATACGAGAACACCTCCCGCCATGGCTTGAAAAGGAGAAACGAGGAGCAAAAACAGCGTATCGTGTGGATCGCAGCGAAGCTTTTCACATGATTTATAAGGTTCTCTCTAACTACCCTAAGCTACCGGGCCTGCGCCTGTTGAGAAGACAGAAGCGGCGGCAATCGAATTAAGAATGCCAGCCTTGTGCGCGCAGAGGGACCTCGTAAAGGCTCCACCATTTACGTAGTCGAAGGCCGAATAACCGCATGAGACTCCCACATGCCTTTCGGCTCTCATCTCGTCTGTGTTTGTAAAACGAATTTTAATCAATTTTCAAACCACCGATATGCTTGAATTTTACTACGTCCACATGCACTTGTACTGGCATGAGGATAATTTGTCGAAAGCAAACATATGATTGCCAAATAGTCTTCTGAATAGTGGGATCGCCGATATGATTTCGTATCCATGCAACTGCAAGAGAAACATCAACAAATGGCGATCTGCCTCTAGATTCACTTCGGTTACTTCAATAGTGCCGTAGAAACTGCAAATTATGTCAGTGTCTAAAGATCAATTTGGAAAATTGTCCCACAGTTATTATCACGCAGATCTATAACAGCATTGTGGGACGCGTCGCGGCAACTGGTTCACAGCAGAAGCCTTTGTGGCAACAGATGAGGTGAGGGATGTAAGCAGCCTGTTCTCGACTTTCTCCGGTCTTCTATCATTTAAAATTATGATTGATACATGCACAGAAGATCTACCAAGCGTTAAAACGATCACACCGATGATAAATCATCCAACATCAGTTGTATGCAAACAGTCAGAGAAACCACCAAGGCCACGATGCATGACTCCCATTCTGCCAGAGACTGTACCTCCAACATCAAAGTCGAAACTCACCCGCAGCAAATTCTGGGTGCGTCCACCTACAAATCTGCAAAATTCGAAGCAAAAGTATACACGCGGATTAACTTGGTCATACACCAATTGGCGTGGAAGGTTGAAAACTGTAGTTATCAATGGCAACCGTTTGGGAACAACTGAGTAATTCTGTTATCTGATTAAAACTAGCTGATGACGCATAAAAATCGACGACGAGGTTGCATCCTTCACTTCGAAGATCAATCGAGCTTTTTTATATTACGGGGTCCAGCCTGAAATCGCTGTTTCGTCGTGTCTTTCATTTTTAAAACATTTCGTCGTACGTCTTTATTTCAGCATAAATTGCCAATGTCTATCGTGACTCGTAGGTAAAAACCTTTGCAGAACTGCGAAAGTTAGTCAAACTTAGGTCCTCGTTCCCTGGAACCTTTGTCGCATTTGACGGGCTGCGACGATTGTAACGACATTTCAGATTTACTTTCAGAATCCCCAGCGCACTTTAGGTAGAGTGGTGTACTCCAGATGCTCGTCATTTTAGCTACAAAGTCACTTTAAATTTAACAGCCGTACTCAAACTTCACTATAATTTTTTAAGGAATCTTTGACACGAGTCCGTAATCACGGTGCGCAAAATTTCACCTACGATCAAATAAAGTCTAAGTTATTGTGTCACGGCCACTTTTCCTCAACACGAAACCATAATCAAGGAAAATACTTATCAAAAGAAGAGGGGGCGTTCACCGGGAGGGGTTTATTTGAGATCCGACGTTTCGGGTAGTTTATCCGTCTACCCATCTTCAGGGACTGAGAGGTCCTGTGCACAGCACTCCTTATTATGGCGTCCTTTGTCCAATGCGTGATCCGCCAATGCCGCCTGTGTGGCTGCATCCAACCCGCATGTCACCGTGACCTGAATCGCCCCCGTCGGCCGCGGTGATGACTGACGGCCCCGATTGTCCCGCGCCGTGACTGTCCCCCGCTAAGAAGGTTCGTAAAGTCAGATAGGGAGGAGGCAAATTGATGTGGCGGTTGACAGAGCGGTCGGTGGACATCCAGGCTTCTTGCACTTGCCTTGCTGTGTGATCGCTGCCCCGGCCCACAATCTCAACGGCGTCAAAGTTGAAGATGTGTCCCATTTGCGCGGCATGGGTTGCTACCTTCGACTTTGGGTCCAACCTTCGCACGGACAACTTATGCTCGTGCATTCGCGTTTGCAGACGTCGGCCGGTTTCCCCAACGTAGTTGCAACTTCCGCAGCTGCATTGAAGTCGGTAGACAACGGCCGACATCTCCTGCTTAGGGATCGGATCTTACGGCCGCATCATTTGCCGGCGGATTGTTGAGTCAGGCCTGTGGGCAACACCTATTCCGAGTGGCGCGAGTGGTCGGGCCACGACTTCGGAGACCCCTTTAGTGTACGGAATGCTCCGCCACGAGTTTGGCTGACTATGCTCTTCGTTCCGTTTCTTTGCTGCCTCCGGCTTCGTTCAATGAATGCCCGCGGATAGCCATTGGCTCTGAAGAGTTCTCGGAGGAGCTTTATCTCATCCAGTTTGGCGGCTGGCGTGCTGCAATGAGTTTCCACCCGTCGGTACAACGTGCGGACACAGCTTCGTTTGTGTTGTGGCGGGTGGTTGCTGTGGTAGCTGAGAATTTGCAGCGTGTTCGTCGATTTTCTGTAGACAGACGTTGCTAGTTCACCATTTGGTTGGTGACAGACGAGAACATCCAAAAATAGAAGTTTGTCCTCTACTTCCTCTTCAATCGTGAACTGTAGATCGGGCATGATTGAGTTCAGTACTTCCGCATAGACGTTGATTTTATCCTGGTCTATGATTACGAAGGTGTCATCCACGTAGCGTGCCCAAAACTTGGGTTTGTACTTTTCGAATAGTTGTCTCTCGAGTTTTTGTAGAACCGCCTCCGCAATGAGTCCGGAGATTGGTGAACCCATTGGAGTGCCCTTGATCTGCTCGCATTTGGTCCCTTCGAAGGAAATGAATGTCTTGAGACAGTGTCCCATGAGTTCTTTGAGATCCTGAGCTGTGGGCTGTCCATCGCCCCCGTCGTAATTTTGACGAGAGGTTATGTACTATCGTTTGTTCTGTTTCCTGGTCTTGTGCGGTCTGTAGTGCCATGAACTTTATCGATAAATCCGCATCTCTGTTAGCACGTTTCTTATGCTTAAATCTTATTACAACAATATTTATAAATGAACTAAAAGCCGGTTCATGGCTCGCAGGACTCGCAATGACCCCTTGGTGATCCCACCTATAGAGGTTAAACACAAGGCGGCCAACTAGCATTTATTTGTGCCATAGACAGTCTGAAAGGAATTTTTTGTCTTCTTTTCTGATTGACTTTTACGATTGTTTTTTTCTCATTTTTTTATTTTTACTTTCCCTTGTTTAATTTATTCGCTTATTTGCTCATAGTTAGTGCTTTGGTTGTTTAATCTTGTCCGCGCTCTTTTATTCGGTCTGCGGTTGATCGGGGCTGTAGGTATGAGTGTACATCGATTTTTTTTAGCGCTAACACCTTTGCCTGACTGTGATATTCTGAACGATCCTCCGGACATGACATGTCATTTTTATTCTTTAATGCTTTTGTTTTAAAATTGGGCTTGCGTCGATCGTACCTTGCTGTCGACCCAGCCTATGTCCTCGGTGATGTCACTTAGGTACTTAGGCATACACACACCCCGTCGAATATTTTCGTTACATGCACAGACGCCTCACGATTCTATAAGGGGTGTTGCTGGGGGAGTAGGCTGTGCAATTTCTAAGTTCGGTAACTTAATGGAAGATGGTTGTGTGTCAGACGCTGGTCGCGCCGCCCCAGCCAGCCAGATAAGTAACGGCGGGGTCACAATCAAAACCGGAGCCACTAAGTTATTCCCACTCGCTTGTTAGTTAATCGTTATAAGATGCAGTGGGCTTAGGCATTGATCTATCTTGAGTAAATATGGGACGTCTCACATTTTAGTAGCATTCCCACCTTGAAATGAGTTCTTATCAAATTCGACATTCGTAGCGCGATCGGTGAGCACCCTCCTACCATTGTATACACCCTAACACAACCGACAAGAAAACGAGCCTGTGACTCTGTGGTTAAGGGCGCTGGACCTTTAATCAACAGGTTGCGGGATCGAGCCCAGGTGTTCCACACTTCGAGGTCGGGTGTGACTGTCTGACGATGACCAATAAGCCGGAAATGGCCATTCCATTCTCCCTTTTTGTCTGTAATGTTATTCTAAAGTTAATTTTTTTATCGGAATGCAGGTTTCGGTTATCCCAATTCCCTTCTCTTGTACTAACTCTGAGTTATGGCCGTCCATCAACCCTTCACTACATGACTAACAGAAAAGGCAGAGGCTCAAAAATCGTAGTGCAGTGGTAGAATAAAGTAAAAAAAGGAATAGTACGAACGCGTAAATTCGGGTATTAGGGCGTACGAAGGCCTCGTGGGGGTGTTGAAGGCCAAGTTATGATCTCTCAAGCAACCTTGGATGGTGGGTCTGCTGTGTCTATCATTACGTGATACGCAGCTGTGATTGAATATCAGGATGAGCTTCACCAATCCATCGTGGTTCATCTTATTCAGGCGGTCGTGTGCCATCTCTAAAACATCTTCCAGCTGATGAAGGGCCGGTTTTTGCTCCGTATTGGGCACGTTGCAAACATCTGCGAGGAAATTCAAGAATGATTAAACAAGTTGGAAGATTACCAAGAATGGAATTATAGGTGGTACACCTCCTATGTCTTCCAGAGAAATTTATGTACTAGTTTGTGTTGTCCGCGTTGTTTCACCTTCCGAGGTGCAGAGAATTTTGTATTGGAAATAGCGTTACCATTCGCTGCTGGTAATTTCTGTTTCCAGCGGCTGGCTGCTCGAATTCGCCCCTGGTAAAATCGCAGTCAGAGTTACATCTTGAGGATATAACAACGTCACTGGAAGAAACCGACCCAGCGGAACAATCGTTTTGAGTCCGGCAGCCCTTTATACGGTAGTTAATTCCTCAGTTTGAGACAGTGAACACCTTGCTGCTGCCTCCTGGTCTGCCTGTTTCAAGTGTGTGTGTGTATGATCGGCGTTCTTTTACCGGACGAACATTCGTTTTCTCTTGTAAGGTTTGTGGGGAATTTTAATATTATTAGCGCGTACCAGTGTATGGAGAATATGCAGCTTCCGGTATTGTGACAATATTCACAGTCTTCATCACAGGAAGTCTACTAGATACGCTTACCGCCGACGACAACAGTGGTGGGATTTCTATCATCGGACATACTTCGTCATCTAGACGTCGCAGTTTGCATTGTGTGCGACCGCTGTCATTGGGCTGTGGAATTTCTGATATCGTGCGTTTTGCGACCTAAAGATAACGGAAGAAGTTAAGGGGACTGAATAATCAGAGGAATCACTACTACTCCATCTAGCACCCTCCCTTTATTCTGCACACATCGCCAAATAGGAGCTGAATGTTTGGACGATTCGTGAAAAGTGACCATTTGCTGGTGGAAATTATAACAGGAAAATAGAACTTACCGGAAATGCCACGGAGGATATGCTTCGGACTCAACTAGTATGCCTTCCTTTAAGGTTTCTTGACGATAACATTATTTACGCAGTTTGGTCCTTTTGGTTGCCCTCTCTCTTATCCCCAGTATTTAAAAGGAGTCTGACTAAAGCTCGCCGTGCGAGTGAGTGTATGGCCATCTTAGATTTTAACTTGTCCACTTGGAGACATTTGACCAGTCATCATAAGCTACTATTTCAAGGGCTTAATAGTCTGCCATAATCGGACGGGGATCTTCGATGGCGAAGCTCTGGGCAATAATCTATCTGACAACCGTGCCTTTTGGTACGCATCGGTTGCTTCTTAGATGCAGTATGCAGCTTGCCTGTAAAGGAGTTAGATGGCAGCATAACACCATTGGTTTGATCAAATTATGTTATACGCATACACTGACCTACTGTAGCACGGGACACGGGGGGTGTGCTAAGACGATGACCATTACCCGAGGAGCTCGACTGCGCCTGTACGCGGGCATTTCTGAAAACCGAATGCCAGTTCAAATGGTCAGTGGGACTCGCGAAGACGTACCAAGCCGCCTGATTAAATGTTAGGAATTCCACCTTCCTGCATACATCAAGATAGACTCGGCTTAAGACGATATGGACGGGATTCGATCTTGCAATTGAGCCGGTCGTAAACGATTAACGGCATAAGACAACTATGTTTGTATCGTCATTCGTTGATAGGCACTCATATGCAGTCAATTCGAAAAAAACACGAGCCAGATTGTTATATCACTGACCGAGCGATTGTTTCATTGAAAGTGACCCTTAACAGGGTTTCCTATTAGCTACATTAATTTGCTGAACTAGCTTTTACTCAGTACAACCGGCAAGTCATCGATTGCGGCCTCCCGTGTAGTGCCTCACCGTGAGTGTGATTATATACTGTCATGTGTTGCTGAAATTCTTGCGGTATCCAACTTCCTCAAAACAATACTGTTACGGATGAAGACGGTCTGCCGGCCGATATCTACCAGAATATATTATTTCCGCGTGGTACCACATGAAGAAAACGTGCAGGTCTTATACGTCGTACGCGGAGCCTCTTTTATCAACCTGGAACAGTAAGCTTCCACTTTTCTGGAGCGAAACTAGTTGGGGTGTCACCACTGCAAAGAGATCAATATATTCCGAATCACTCAGGACTGTTTTCTTCATGCAAAGGCCGTGTCATACATGCGGTTGCCTTGTGATGGATTCTAAAACAAGAGTTTGGTTTAACGCTGCAGATTTATCGCAGACGGAGACCACAGAAATACTCTTATGAAGACCCTGGAGGCCGAAAATCGTCCCCAAATCATGTGAGCCGTCTTTCTTGAATGATGTAGGATGTCCTCGTAATGTTATTACAGTGAATGCTGATTGTCTCCTTCGGGACCTAGCCGATACGCTTCATACGAAATGTCGTTATCTGACAACGGTGGTTTAGAAAACCTAATTTTCTTTTGTCTCTCAAGCGGACGGCGCAATACGCACAACGGTAAGAAGCGACCAACTGTAACCTGCAGATCTTTATAGTGATTTACATATTGGGTCGGCTCCACGACATTCAAATTCTCACCCAAGTCCTTGCGTCAGCATAGATTCATAATAAGATGTCAGTCCCATTCTGCCTGTTGGGCAGAGGCTGTAAATTTCAATCTATCTTGATGGATGCCTTCTCGTGAGATCAGAAATGTTGCTCGAAAACATTGGCCTTTCCAGCGTTATCAGACAAACTGACAGATCTATCGAACGTATCCGCCCTCGACCCGGCACTGGCAGGACGATGTCAACAGACAAGATTTCAGTCGGCCTATTTCCTTGTGCATCTTTCAAATAATCGAAATCGCGTCCAGCCTTTCAGAGAATACATTTATTAGCATATAAACGGAATACGCGACAGTGTGCAAATCCGTCGAGCGCCAGGCCGAGTATCGAACGCTCGACAGAGATTGCTGTGGACGACAAATTGCAGAGTAATGGGTCATTATTGCAAGTTCTACATCTCAATTAAGATTTTTCCGGTTCACTCTTCAAGTCTTCTATTTGCGACAGAAACTCACGATGAACAAAATCGAAAGCTTCCACGAAGTCCAGAAAACGGACTATCCGCAGTTTCTGGATGCCCTGACACAATTCGAGGATACATCGAGGTGTCAATACCTTACCGGCGTATCCACGTCTATTTCAAAATCCGAACTGGCTAGATCTACTCATTGTCACCATTTTAATGGGTTGTCAGGGGTAATAGTCATTGTGGATCTTAGATTGAACTGTCTGGTCTGGCATCTTTGGAATTCTTGTACTGATCTAGTCATTGTGGAACCGCTAGAATCCCGGACGTCACGCACATCCGGTTTGTGTTACATTGACCGTCATTGCTTGTTTCAATTTGGTTGCCAAAATTTACGCGACTTGTCCCTCTGCTTACCCTTATTTTGCTTTCACGTTTACTATTCTTCTGGATAATAGTAATATGCCATGTCAGACTCTTCCATCGATCTAATTGTTCGTTTGATGATGAAGAGAAGCGGAGTAGGCTGCAGTTAACTTGGTTTTTTGTTTGACACCCATGTGCTTATCGTCCCGGTCAACAATCTGGAACTCGTAGCCAGCCTGGATAGTCCCGGTCCTCAGTTGTGATTTTATGTCCGCCCTTCGGGCGTTTGGGGTAGCAGTTGCGACAAGTGACCGTAGAGTTTTTCTGGCTTTGACGAGGGCTCCTGTTTGGATCGTCTGACGCCCTATGTCTCAGGACACCTGCGATTTATATGCTGAAAGGGCTTCTAACTAGTTTAGTCGGTCACACGCGCTCTCCTACAACTTCCACGATATCTACAAATTGTTATCTCCACTGCGTCCACCAACTAATAAAGTCACCTGGAGACGATTATGGACCAGATAGTCTTCACTGTCCAGAAATGGAACGCCAGGCTATCAACAATTGCTGAGTCTAGCCGCAGCTCACGACGTCGTGAACTGTGTAATCGACTAAACCTTATCTTGTGACAGCCAGGTAGTCTACCCTTTGTTCAGAATATTGTTTTGCCGTTCCGAACTTTTAAACATCATATAGTTATCTTTGCCATTACATACCGGCCATTAGCTGAACCGTTTTTTGCTCGCGTAATCTAGCAGACATTACTTCTAAATACCGCCCATTTGCCTGTATGTAGCCTTTTAGGAGTGTCGTATGGCGGGCCACAAACCCATTGCTCGGGAGGATGACTACGACTTTCTGCACTCCCTCCTGGGTTCCGTAAGTCTCGCTGTCCACATTTAATGTTAGACTGTCTTTCAGGACCAGCCAGTCACATCATGCATTGTAATTTCTGGACCACCAGGGAGTGGCAAGTCGCTTTTGATAAACTCGGTTCTGGACGACTTGTCGCAGAGCTCTAACACGAGATCAGTTAAAGTTAGCTGTCTCGAGGCCTGTCCAACAAGCACAGGAGTCCTTAACACTAGCCAAAACCTCGTCTTGTTCGACCTCCTCCTTTACCATCTCAAATTCCGCTACTGTCCCTCTGCCGAATTTACAACACGCTGCGATAGCCCTGCTGCATTCATTGAACGCCTCACTGACCTGCTACTCTCTATTTCCTGCAAAGACGAAAGGATGCCTGGTAACTTGCCCTTTTCTGTCGTTCTTACCGGATTATCTCTTGTGTAGCCACTTTCTGCATCGTCCTACACCAGGCTGAAAAATTACGAGACAGTGCTGCCGATCTCCTGTCAGTAATGGTCACCCTGAATTCTCTTGTAGCAGAGCATGCACGCATTTATCATCCCTCTGTTGTTACCTCGGGCCGCCTTCCTAACGTCGTCAGTGTGCTTCTGACCAGTTGCTCTTGGGACAAGTTCTACTCTGGGACCTTCGCTTCAGAACCCACCACGCTCTACCTAAAGTCGTATACACGAGAACAGTTGGCTGCTATCCTAATACATGCCTCACCCACTGAATCGCCGCGCTACGCGAGGTTTGTGGACCTCTTACTCACTGTCTGTTTTCCCGTGACAAGGAGTGTCCGAGAACTACTCTACCTTGCACAGGTGAGTTATTTACTTCTGAAATGTGTGGTGCGAGTCTGTATTTCTGCTGTTTTGTACAAGCTCCAACCCCTCTGTTTATGTAATTAGGAGATTGCAGTCTTTGAAACTCGCCGATCAGCACGGCTAGAGTTTTGCTGCCGGACAACTCCTTTATTTATCATGGGGTGGGATAAGTTATCTTTAAGTTGATTTAAAAGTTACGTTTTCTGGGTTCTTAGAAGTGAGAGAACTCAAGCACAGTACCAGAGTCGCCGATCTATCTATTCATTCCGAAAATCCGATCATTCGTAGTCTCATAGTCTTGCTACTATGACCGCTCTGGCACCTTTTTGTAGGAGACGCCAGCTTATTCGCCTGTTCCTCCACCGAGTCCGCAGCAGATCAATTACCTTGTGGGATATGAATGGGCATTCGACTCCGCGGTATTCGCGGGGTTAGGGACCACAGTTACCCAAGAACAGCTGAAATCCGTGAATACTTGAGATTTTTCTAAAAAGAAGCTCATAACTTTCTACCAAATGCACCTTGAACTACCATCCCAAAACACTTTAGTATTTTTCTCTGTTTACATTAATATTTGAAAATGAGTAGATCATTTTCATCGTGAAAAATGTATCTAGTTACGCAAATAAACACAAGTAATAAACGACGGTTTTAGGTATGCTCTACGAAGAAAATCCGCGAGTAGACGGGTGTCAACTGTATTTTCCCGGGGACACTTTAGCTGCATAGACTGCCTACTCATTTGACTTAGGTAAATTGGTATAATTAAACAAGATTCCTTGATGCCCTTCTTTTTCGGACAGTGTCTAGGTTTTGGAGAAGAAGACACGATCGCCGGGGCAAGAGCTCTATTAGCCGGACGTTTCGGATTCCTGCTCGAATCCATCATCAGAGACAAAAGCAGATAAGGGTGGTTCATGCATATGCGGCTGCAGTATTTATAGGATGCAATAGCCATGCTACCGCATACCTATGATTATTCCCGGCTTCCCCCACTTCATCAGGGATCGTTGCACGTGGCGTGATGGCCGACATTCGCGTCGTTAATTGCTGCAATTCCATCACGTGCGTTGGATGTTAGTGTGATGATTGCTCGACCATCTGACGTGCTGACGCGGGTGTTGGGAAGAGTGTTCACCTGTGTTCACCGACGCGAATGTCGACCATCACGCCACGTGCAATGATCCCTGATGAAAGGGGGGGGAGCCGGGAATAATCATAGGTATGCGGTAGCATGGCTATTGCATCCTATAAATACTGCAGCCGCATATGCATGAACCACCCTTATCTGCTTTTGTCTCTGACGATGGATTCGAGCAGGAATCCGAAACGTCAGGCTAATAAAACTCTTGTCCCGGCGATCGTGTCTTCTTCTTCAAGACTGCTTCCTGGGACTCGTCTCTTCGCTTCTATTGGCAGTCATCTAGGTCGTCGCCATGACCGCCGGACAGGGCTGGGTGCTCATTGACCCCTAACATCCACCCCTTTGGCTTCTCCCTCCGTACCAGCTTTTCCCCCTCTGCGACTAGTATAATGCCGACTGAAGGCCATGTTGATACGGCGGTCCCCGTAACCCTCAAAAGGTTTTCTGCCAGTTGAGAACAGAGTGGTCAGACAGTGCTAGTTGTCTTTTTGTCGTTACTGCTGCCCACCCCGACACTCCCCCCTCCCACCTGCCTAAAACAGTCAGTGGGGTCTAACCGGGCTATAGTGAGCCCTGCTCCTTCTGCGCACGTCTTACGCTACCGTTACGGTGCGCGTGGTAGCCACGAGTCAGTTTTCTGTTTGTCACAGACAAGGTTGCCGGACAAAACTAGTTGTCCTTTGCCTCTATCACCGGCTACCCATCACCCAACCTCCCTACGTAATTAAGTGAATACCGATTGTAGTGTACCTTGCTATTTTCGTGTATTTCTTCCCTAACCGTTACGGTAGGCGTCGTTATCCGTCGAGTTTTTTTTATAGTCGCAGACAGGTCGCTAGGAAGTACCACTTGCCCTTTGTCGTTACCGGAGCTCAAGTGCAAAATCTGTCACATTTATTGCTTTCCCTTGATTGTGGCCAACCTGCTCTCTACCGCCTTCATGTATATATAATTATCCCAGTGCCCCGACTTGAAGGAATGGCCTTGACGGCATTGACGAAAGCTCACCAACCATTCCGTTTCTAGATCGGTTATCCGAATCCGTCCCGTCAATGGTTGCGCAGTGTGTTTAATGGGGTTGCGTGGTTCCCTATTGGCCACTTCTCGCAGTGCGCGGAATTGAATACACAGTTACTTATTGCATTAAAACAAGCGCGTGACATAAATAAGGTTTTCTGACTTCCTACATAATTTAAACCGTACCGTCCCTTCCTTTAAAAATCCTCATCCGTATTGCACGTGGTCTTGCGACACAATGGCGGAGGGGAGCATGCATTGGTCGGATGTGGTTTGGTAGCCCCACCTGAAGTAAAGAAACCCCAGTCACCTCTAATACGGGATCGGTAGTAATAGGGTTTTTACAGGTGTGTCCGGGGAACGCACAGGCGACGAGGTCAGGTAGTTGTATCCAAAAGAAACGCTATTGGGAGAGCTTGTTTGTACTTTCAATGGTTGAGAAATAGTTTCTTTAACCCCCAACCCTAACTCTAACCCCCCACTATAACCTCTAATCCTAGACCCCAACCCCAGCCCCAACAGTATTGTGTCCATCAGGTGGGGCTGCCAAACCACATCTTACCTATGCATTTTTTACTTGGCCCATTACTATTTCTCCGCAACTCCTGTTGCATGTGACACGCATTTCCCGTCACCTCAGACACTGCCAGTCAATCATCGCCAGTCGGCATTTCTCGGACTGACTGCCGGTATGGGAAAGAAAGAGAGGGTAAGATCGATTCAGTCCGGGCCCAGCGCTTTAGCTCCTCGTCTATAAACAACAGAGTGCATCTTAAAACTACCACGGCGCACTAACAGCCGTGTCTTGCAGAAGTGCAAGCTAAAGGCGCAACTTGATCTTACTCAAGACTGAGAGTCGGAAGGAATAGCCCCCTACCGTGGCACCCATTTATGTGGGATCCGAGATATCCTCAGTATAGACTGGTTTGTAGGGAGTTAAGGAGATCGCGTGTAGCATGTGGATGGACAGTCTAGCTTTGTCAGCCACTGTCTCCACGCCTATCCCTAAGCTTCTGACTTTGCCTTGCCAGCGGAGTGCTGTAGGCGGGGAATGAGTGAGCTGAGCAGACTTGCGTCACTGCGAATAAAGTAACAGTCTCCCTAGTCTTTTTCGGTACCATGTCATTTAATTCTACGACTTGTCGCTGTGCGACCGCCTGCGAAGGTTCTAGTATGAGCCCCAAGGCACAGCGGAACAAGCAATTTCCGTAACCTGGTCGGTGAGCTCCCATCTGTCGTGATTGGTATTCCTGATCACAACCGATGTATATATATATAATGCATAGACAGCTCGCTTGACATGCTTATATACCTCACTTCATAAGGCCTATGACATACTGACGATCGGTAACGACCGTGAAACAGCTGTCTGCGTCTGGCCTGCTGCACCCTTAGCGAGCTGCCTATGTATTATATGTGGTATGTGTCCTATAGCACAGAGTTCGTTGTTGCCAGTAGCAAGCTGGCGGGCGGACAGAATGGGATCGAGTGAGATCCTAACCACAACAGTAAGTGTCAAACGCCTACTTGACATGCTTATATACCTCACTTCATAAGACCTATGAGGTACTGATGATCGGTAACGACCATGAAACATCCGTCTGCGTCTGGCCTGTCGCAAGTTCGAGCCCCAGATTTTCCGCACTTCGGAGTTGGGCATGACTGGCTGACGACGACTAATAAGCCAGAAATGGCCATTCCAGTCTCCCTTGTCTTCGTCGGTAATGACATAATGCTTATATCATGCGCCGCTGTGCGGCTGCAGGTTGAGCTCGAGGGAGAACCCGTAAGGCACAACGGAACGAGTGAGTTCCGTAAGAACGGTCGGTGAGCGCCCCGACCATTATATATATATATATATATATATATATAGATGAGATGATACCGACAAAGACAAGGGAGACCGGAATGGCCATTTCTGGCTTATTAGCCGTCATCAGCCAGTCATACCCAACCCCAAGTGTGGATCACTTGAGATTCGAACCCGGGATCTTTGGTCATGGAGTTGAACGCTCTACCATTGAGCCACGGGCCCGTTGTCCTGTCGGTTGTGATCGGGAATATTAATTATGACAGTGGGCGCTCGCCGATCAGGTTACGGAACATGCTCGTTCCGTTGTGCCTTGGGGCTCATACTTAAACCCTCGCAGGCAGTCGCACAGCGACTAGTAGTAGACATAGATGAGATGATACCGACAAAGACAAGGGAGACCGGAATGGCCATTTCTGGCTTATTAGCCGTCATCAGCCAGTCATACCCAACCCCAAGTGTGGATCACTTGAGATTCGAACCCGGGATCTTTGGTTGGGTATGACTGGCTGATGACGACTAATAAGCCAGAAATGGCCATTCCGGTCTCCCTTGTCTTTGTCGGTATCATCTCATCTATGTCTACTACTAGTCGCTGTGCGACTGCCTGCGAGGGTTTAAGTATGAGCCCCAAGGCACAACGGAACGAGCATGTTCCGTAACCTGATCGGCGAGCGCCCACTGTCATAATATATATATATATATATATATATATTCACTCAGGAATGGGCGCACACCGATCCATTGGCTTCCCGAAGCAAACAAGCTTCGTATGGGCCAAAGGGGTCAGGAACAGGCAACCACCTACCAGGCCTCGGTTGCTTTCGCACCTATCTAGGGGAGTACAAGCTGAATTTTCGCAATGAAGCTCGGCATAATCGAAATGTATGAAGTCGCAGTTATAACCGAGCGCCAGGGTGTATTCGAACTAAACTTAAGCTGGGCAACCAAGTCCGTCATTTTCTGAAACAGGTCAGGACGCATCTTCTATACGTGGCTCGTGTCTGGCATTCACTCTGCTATCGCGCCTTAGTGGTCCCTGGTAGATGAGGTAAGTGAGCTAATTAACTGACTAATCTTCGAAATATCAAGTTGCCTCCTGGTGCCCGGCTAGCTAAAGCGTACCAGATGTTCCTGGTAGTTGTACGCCAATTTTCGTTGCAGTTGTATGGTTCAGAACGCATGATCTCGCGGCATAAGCTCTTGAGGTCCGTATCGCCACGAAGTCAAGCAGCCTCTACACTATCAGCAAATCAGATCACTTCACCGGATACATATTCCTTGTCGTGCCGCTCGCCGCGACATGTCCTCTCTTGCCATATACTTGGGAGAGTATTTTCAGTCCCAGCTACTTCTTTTCATCTAAGAGCATCTGATAAGTAACTCTCTTGCGTAAGTGCCGCTGAGCAGTTAGGGACACCTGGAAGCCCGTGGTCGTGGCAAATTTATCCAGACGGCTAACATCGTGCTTACTTTTTCGACAGCACGTAATCTAAGCGGTAGCCGAACTCCCGTAAGATCACAGTCGAAATTATTTCCATTGCCGTTATCAGCGCAGCGCATTGCTCCGAAGTTTAGCATGCGGTAACTGGGTTGATTTTGACTGTGGCCATCATTTCGGTACCAGCAGCCTGCAAAATCTTTACCTGAGATTCCAAAAACGGGTCCTTTTAATGGCCAAGCAGTTCTCTGTAACGAAATTGAAAAGTCCTTCACCATTCGGGTGACGGGTCCCACCACGGCATGGTTTTCGTCTCGACACTACAGTCCTCTCTCACAACAGGGTCGCGCTGTGCAATACGCCTGACGCCGTCTGCTTTTTTCTGCCCATTATCAAAATTAGGTGTTGTGATGCAATACCGTCTGGCTTATGCAGAGTTCTCCATGACATTACTGTGGCTGTGAGCAGAAATTGTTTGGTTTCAGAACAACCAAAGTTCTCACCCAAGTGATGTGGATATTTATCGTCGTATGAGTAGGACACGTCTGAGGGTCACATCGAAATTATCCGGCCCTATCATATATATTAATTGCACCATTAAGGAATAGGAGTCTCATTCTGCGAGTAACCAGTGTTGGCGGTAATTGAGTTTCAAAATATAATAGGCACACCGGACGTCTAAAATGCCGAATCTAAACCTCATGGGGAAGGTGTCCTCACCGACTCGCTGGTCCCTCTCATCATTCACGTGTCCCCCGTAGTGGGGGGCAATAAACTCGTCCCACCTGATTATTTTGACTATTACTGCTTGTCATCCCTGTAGTTCAATTGGAAGGCCTTCGATGAACCAGTAGCCAGTGGCAAGGTTGCTGCTGATGATGAATGGGCTCAGTGGCGCTACGCCCTGCCCACACTCAAACGTTCCCTCTCTACCATCTACCTGCGTCCGGAACCAACACCTACCAACCCACTGGCTGGTCCTGTGGTTTGCGCCAATGCGACTACCGCCGCAAGTGCTAACGTCCTCGAACTGCCCCTCTATGCGCGCTTCCTCCTCGTTGCCGCCTACATTGCCTCCTACAACCCCAAATCGGCGGACAAGCGTTTCCTCGCGAAGGCACGTCCCTCTCTTCTAACCAGTCCCTTCTCGGCATGCACGTTTGTGATTTCTAACAAGAACTTTTTCTATCTCTACCATTATGCTTTACCTTTAGAACACTGGAAAGCTCTCATCTCGTGCAAAGAAACAATCAAAGAAAACGGAGAACGTAAGTGTACCCTAAAAAATCTCAGGTTTTCACATGCCTCAGTATTTCATCCGAGTACAGCATAAAGGTCTCATTTTATTGGTTTTATGTCAACTTTACATAAACAGCTTATCATGCATCGTGTGTTTTGGGCTCTTTGACTGGTTACCTTCCCAGTATGGGTGCTCACAGATCTTAATATTACTGGCTGTTATGATGCCAAAGCTAGGGATAACGCTCCTCACCGTCTTTAATCAGTCTTTTAATGACCCTATTTGTCACTCGGCCAAAGCCGCCAGTTCCGTCACCTTTGCGTTTTTTAATTGTATCTCCTGGCCTGCTATTAGTATTACGGTGTTAATTAGTATCTTTCATTTTGGTGCTCTGGAATTCGTGCTTTCTGTATCGTCTCTTATATCAGCACTTCGACACGGTAACAAAATTCGACGACAGTATAGAGAAGGACCCCACTTAACTGTCAGTAGATTGTGGACCGTGTCATATAGGGTTGTATCTAGGCATGCATTTGCAGGCTGTTGCAGAAATTACACTGCCAACAACGATTACTTCCCACGACCTCACACCGTAACTCAAAATCCGTTATTTTGTAAAATTTACTTCTTGTTTATTGCTTGATTACTACTCTCATTTCCGTTGTCGTACAATGGCGTAGGATAATACTTTTGGCATAAAACCAGGCAATTTCTGTGTCTTCTTTCATTTTGTCAACTTACTGTCCAGCGTGCTGCCCTACCCATAGAACTCCCTTTAACATGAATCACGTATGGCACAGTTCACAGTCTACCGAAAGTTAAGTGGGGTCCTTCTCTATACCGTTGCCCAAAATTCATTGGACAAAATACTGCCTGAAATTGTTACAGTGACCCACCTACATCTGGAAGAATTCCCATTCAGAAATTGCAGTTAGCATGGCCGCCGCCTAGTCTTTCGGAGACTCGCAGGCCATTTTGTGCCCATCCCGAAAAATTCCCGGACTGCCCACTTTCTATCTTTGTACTTTTTTTTATCCACTGCGGACTTAAGCCTACAACCAAACACGCACCCTCCAACTACTGAAAAGATTTGGTCTATGCGCGCTGCTACTCTGGGAATGGTCAAATCATTTGACCGCTGGTGTCTTCACAGGGTACAACGGATGTGAACGTGCCTCCGAGCATGGACATCATTGTACGTTGGGGGCACCTCTTGTTGTTTAGGCAGTGAAACCCTGCCTTCTGAAGTGGCCCACACTCCTCTGACTCGAGAGAGAAGTAATTCGCGAAGTCGCGCTTTCCTAATTCCAACTCTAATTGGTGTCTTCGCCGTGATGGCAAAATGAAAACTGAACTGGCGTGGTCAGGTTAGGCCTAGGGCGAATGCCGGTTCCGACTGTCTTTAGTGTTCGGCAGTTGAACACCAAATGGGCCAGGATTTCTTAGTGTGCCTACCCACTGTTCTGATGGCATGGACAGCAAGGGTTGTAAAGTTGTGTTCTTTGGAATCAGCTAGAGCAACACTGGTGCGAGCTGGTAGAAGTACTGTGTGTGTCAGGTCGCGGGAACTACTGCTCCTATAACGATCTTCAACAGTCTACGTCCACCATAAAGACCTGCTATTTAAATAGCAACCTCGGCTACCCTGTTCTTCCGCCCTGCCAGTTCAGGCGGCGGTTACAGGCAGCTGCAAGCTGTGGCAGTTTACTGATCAGTCATGCCTGTAGATGCTCTCAGCCCCTCCGTCTTTCATCCACCGACTAGTTGGGATGCATGGAATTTTGGGCGAGCATCGGATATGTAAGTCCATTGGGAAAAAATGAAGCCACGGACTCCTGTGATACGGAAAAAAATTTTAATATTAGATTGATCACTATGGCAGATGGACGTGAGGATTAACCGAATCTACGAAAGGCACTGAGAAAATCCGTATTTCGCCGTAGGTTTTATTATTTTAACTAGGTGCCGAACCAGACCACACAGTCTGAAAAGTGTGAATTAGGCCGTGCAAACAAGCGGAAAACGGATAATCCAAGTCTATTGGACCAAAAAAGCCGGATTACGTAAAACGGTACGCGACAGACAAGCCTAACCCTAACCCTAATCTTTAACCCAGCCCCGGACCTGACCTTAACGCTAAATTTGATGGTTTTCTTAAATTTAGCCGGGAACATAATCCTAATATAACGTTCCTGCCAAATTCAAGTAAGTAGGCGTGTTATGATAATAAAACAATGGGTTTGCATGTCCAGTCCCTGCCGGCTGTGCTCAGCTTACTAGATTGAACGCTTTGAAGCGTTCAGCAGGATCCGAAGGAAGCGGTGCCAGGCAGCCATCAGCGGTTTATACTCCAGTTTTCATTTTTCGACCTAGGTGAACATTCACATGCAAGGTCCCCGGTTCTTCCCACTTGATCGACTGTTGGCCATCTTCTACGCCCTCTTCGATCTAGAGAGCGACGCTGACTGCCAGCATAAGCGCCGCCCGCCCTACACCAGCCTTCTGACCAGCCAGGTGGCATGCCTCTCGGGGTTGGGGCTCATCGCTGCAGCCTCCAGCACGACGGCGGCAGGCGCACTGGCCACCCGCCATGGCAACGCGGGACTGCCGGGCCCCTACAGCAATCCTGACGATCCCCTGGCCAATCCACGTTTCCGCTGTCTCGTGAGTCTGGAGACAGCCCGTGCGGTGGCGAAGTCAATCAACATCAACCTGAATTCATATCTTTTAGACTTTATTTGAGCTCCCATATTTTATGTTGACTATTGCTGTGCGGCCCTATTCCCGCATTTTCAGATGACAGATGACAGCAACTATTTTTGTAATCCATTAAACAGTTCGTATGTAAACACTGCAGATTTTCCTTTCCTGGATTATATGCCCAGTGCCTACATTACTGGTGCGTCATGATTCTTCGACGAAGATTAGGCCTCACACACTGATTTATTGCATGTTCTTACTTGAATGTAGTGGCTCCTTATCCTTATCGTCCTTCACGTCTGGGTAGCCCCCTGTGCTGTCTGCCTACTTCACAGCGTCGTGTCGGATACTAGAATGAGATAATACAGCGTACGAGCAGAGTTTTGATGACCTGAACTTCGAACCCATATCCTCTGGTCATTGAGCGTTTGGAAGTCCAACGCTCTGCCACTGACCCAGGGGCACGTCCTATTAGTTGTGGTTGGAAACATTCGCCATGGCAAAGTGAGCATTCTCTGGTTAGATTACAGGACATGCTCATCCCATTGTGGTTTGGAGCTATGCGACTGCCTGCTGGAATCAAAAGTTGTGCGCTCGGTGTACGACCCTCCCCTGCTACCTACTAAACCCATTATTTTGCTACCTACTTCGACTTTTCCAGGCTGAGTCCTTACGTAGACTATAATTAGAAGCATACTACTCTCCGTAATTTCTGCAGCTAGTGTTTATCTCCATTAGAGATGGTTTTGGGATTGTTGTGAAGGTGCTGTAATTTATTTGACGCTTCTTTTTCTATACAGGGTTGCTTTACGGTTTGTATCATGTTACTTTTACCTCTTAACGCCATTAGTTTGACCAAAGACATGCGGTACTAATGTTACTGGGCTAGCGTCATTCGGCTGAAACCTTGCCCAAGTCTAAGTGACCCAGCTGAACTTATTTCTTGGATCTACCTACTGTGCACCGCAATTTGGGTCGACTGCTCTGCGGTCGCGCGTTTAAGCGCCGAAAACACTGATTTCGCAAAAATTAAGCAGTCGTTTATCCCTGAGGGTGGACGCTGAAATCATCCCTGTTCCAGCTAAGATTCTCTGTACAAAAGCTGTGTGCATAAATTGCATCAGGATCTAATGTTAACACCGCTGTGCAGACCGCTCTATCGAGCCTTAAGGTAGCTCCATGATAATAAAAAGACGATGACTTACTGACTCTTTACACAGTCTTATCGACACTAAGTTTGCTAAGCCGATCCGATTCGTTGAGAGGCGCGGTCTTCGGCTTTTCTACTGTCCTTCACAACCAGAACTTCCCCTCAGGCTGGGTTAAGGGTCAACCCAAGATGTCTTCGTGTCGGCAACCAGCTGCATGATGTGCGCGATTGCTGGCCCTTTCAGTGGCCAAAAAATATTTGGTGCTCTGGGCGTGTCTGTAGTCAGGCGATCTTATTCTGCCAGTAACTCCACACGAGCCACTGGAGTGAAGCTCTGTTCGTCCAGCGTCACCGTTCGTGGACGCACTCCACCATCGAGTTTGAGACAGTCACGCTTTCGCACTGACGTTTATCGCCTTGCGTGTACATTTGCCAAATTTAAGTAAGTCTCAGCTCGTGTGACACCTCACACAATGACCACTTTAGTTTTTGAAGTCCCAATGGGAGATTCTTAGCCTATCGGAACTTGGTTGCTCGGGCTTGCAAACGCTAGCCTGAACATAGGCTTGAATGCATGTTCGGGGAGATAGGATCCGAAGAGTGGGATGTGCATTTCCTCGACCAGAAGTTTAAGCTCTTTGACGGCCAATTTGAGCTATTTTGGGCGTGTGACGGAAGGCCCCATCCCGCATGAAAATCGCAATGCCCTAAGGGGGGAGCGTGCGGTCGCAGGACATTCTTTGATCCTCATCCATAACCATTCATACAGGAAGACAGGCGGCATTTGAAAGTCATTAAGCATGGGTGTTTGCCATTTTTAAAGGTTCTAACTTTTCAAGGGACATTGCCCACGCTGGAGTTATTAGAGTGTTCTTCAGTCCTGCTCCTACGGACCTAGTCGACGATTTAAGATTCGTCTTCGACTACGTCTGAACGTTTTTGGTTCTTTGCAGTTCAAGATCTCAGGCACGATTTGTGCTTAGGAATCTTGTCCCTTCCGTCTAAACGCTGAACTTCCAACTATGACGCTGTTCCGGACTGTGTGCTGGGCGGCATTAAGCTCTTTGGTTCTCTCCTGGGTGGTCCAGAACGGGATCCTCCCCAACCCGGCCTTTTGCTGATCACGAGCTTAATGTTGGTGAGGTTTGATACCTCACTGACTGTGTAGATATGTCCTGATTCCCTTCTATCTGGTCCTCAGAAGGTAGATAACTATGGGAATGTTTTCCAAATAGATAGGCTCGCGTGGAGGTGGATCACTAATGGGGAATAACTTCGAGGCAGTCCATTTTTTACACAGAATTCTCTTCGTCTTGTAAGCCACCGTTGTTTAATGAAGGAATCGAAAGTAGACCATAATTGTCGGATTTTTTAATATCATGAAATGCCCGTCCATAAAGCATTGTGCTTCTGCATTTAATAATTTTGCTTGTAAAGTTTACAATATGGCCCAAATGACTGCTAAACTTCGGAAACCCCATATGGTCTTTTAATACCATAGAGAAATGTATTTTTTCCCGTACGCAGAAAAGATATAGTTTACAGTTTGTAAACCCTGAAGGGAAGTGCAACGGCAGGTCGGGTTCAAAATTATTAGGGCATCGGAAAAGTTTTTGAAAACCAAGTTATATCCTTCCTTCGAGTGCAAAATTGGAAGAAGGAGTAATTTTCTACCGAACGTGTACAAGAATGAGTATTTTTATGCATGTTTTCCATAAAATATAATTGAATTTTTAGTGGCATCAAAAATCAATGAGACACATTCATGCTACTTAAGTGGACACTTTTTACAGAGTGCCACTTTTGGCATGCGGCCAGAAAGGTGTTTGTTCGAAAGCTAGCATTCCGAGGTAACTGAATTATTGTAGAATTATGCTGCACGGTTATTAATTTTAAAACCCTCCTTGTCAACGTTATGGAGAAGAATCCCACTTTACTGCTGGTAGACTGTGGATCGTGTCACACGTGATTGGTGATAAGGGGAGTTTTACGAGTGGGACAGCACACTAGACAGTAAGCTGACGAAATGCAGGAAAAGACGGAAATCGCTTGGATTTCTCCTGAAAGACTCATTGTACGCTCCCGTTCGACAACGGAAATGATCGCGGTAATTAAAAATAAATAAGAAGTAAATTTCACAAAATAAAGGAGTTTGAGTGATGGTGTGAAGTCATGGCAAGCGATTGCTATTGGCAGTGTAATGTCTGCAAAGGCCTGCCAATGGATGCTAAGATAATAGCCCATATGATGTGATCCACGGTCTGCCGTCAGTTAAGTGGGGTCCTTCTCCATACTGTTGCCCTCTACTTAAGTAATCTTTTCGGGGCGAAATCGCATTTCAAAATTTTGGTCAACATTTAATGAGTTAGCACACCTACTGTATGTGTCATAAATGTGCGTCCTCGTCCTACGTGAGCGTACATTGAAGCACTGAGAAAGCCAAGGTTTCAAACTTCTGAATACAGCAAGCTCGAGGTGGTCGAGCGTTCTGTCCGCCTCAATTCCGCTGTGCTATTGAACGCCAAATGGACAAGAATTTCCGCGATCCCAGATGACGATTTTAGAACATTGCCTACATCTGTTTACAACACCGCTAACCCTGGAGCGGGCTAACCCAGTACTCGTGCTAATCGGTGCAAGTACAAGTAAATACCGCCTAAATGGCACACATGATGATCCAATATTTCACCGGCTCCACAGTTTTGTGCTTGTAAGTTGCTGTTAAGGCGCATGGGACTTACAGTTTTCGCTTCATATGCAGCACAAATCCTACATTTTCTTCCTTCTGAAATGGAGTTCTGCAATTTAGAGATGTTGGCTAGAGGCCTGTCTGCAGTGGAAGCTACAAAACGATTGTGGACCACTACAAAATCAGGTCCACTCGCGACAACCGCGTCATCGGCACGTGAACGTTCAGTCAAGTGATAACCCACGTGGGCCCAATCGATTTTCCTACACCTCGAAGGGCATGCTCGCCTGTAATCAATAAAAGCCCGGAAAAGGGGGAGAAGTTCAGCGTAAGTGGAGCGCGGCTGGTCAGGGCTGTGCGCTAGACCTCAGAATGCCGTCAGGTAAGAGCGGCTCCAAGGGCAAATCACCAAAAAGCCCGAAAAGCCCTAAAAATGCCCCACCCGAAGAGGAAAAGTATGTTTATGTCAGACCGCCACCTCCACCACCGCCTCCTGTTCCACCACCGGCACCGCTCATGTCAAAAATTCGACGGCAATTATGGTATCCATACGCGAACAGGCCTTTGTTCGTGTACACCGAGTGGTTCTGGTCTCCGCTTTGCCCTTGTATCACAAGTTGGGGTGACCTCTGGGTCACAGACCCGCAACAACGCCGGATCTTACGCTATAAATTTCGTCCAGTCGAGTCGAGATTATATAAAATCGATGGACCGTTGATAACTCGGGGTGAACCACGGATGATCGTAGAAGTGCCGAAGACAGGGAGAATGGCTGTTCTTCTAGCTGGCCCCAACGCTCGAAAGACCGCACTTGTTCTCTACGACCCCATTGAACTGAAAGAAGAGAAGAGACTTGAATTTCCTTTTGCAGCCGCGGATCCGGCCACTTTGCCGTGCAGTGAGTCCCCTGAGACGAGGGCTTACAATCTACAGGATGAGTCGACACCGGTTGGACTGTGCTGCAATAACGACAATTTGTTTCTCCTATTCCATCCCTTACAACGTTTGATGGTCTTTGACCAAGTGACGATGCAGTCTATTCCCTGCAAAGTCGAAAATGCATTCCCCGATGAGAATTCTTGTGTGCATATCGCCACTTCCGGTGGTTGTGCGGCAGATGCGCAATTCCTATACGTAGCTGCAACACGTCCGTCGAGGTTGCTGGTGTTCTTTATCCATTCGCCTCGAATACTTGGCAAGGTTGACTCGGTAAATTTGGTTGTGTACGCCGAATTGGCAATGGATAGGCTGTCGTTTGGTGAACCCTTCGGAGTGCAGATAGACTCACTTGGGATGGTTGTTGTATCCGACTCAAAGGCCGGATTCTTCCATGTGTACAATATTCGGCATCGGACCAAAGGCCCTTGGGTGCCCTCTTTGGAGCACGGTGAAACATGCCTCATGGGTTCCTGGAAGATTGACGAGTATCAACCTATCCGCCCAGGTTATTTCAGTGTGGCAAAGAACGGCACAGTATGCGTTGTTGATCGGTGGCACAATAGGCTTTGCATATTTGCTGACCGAACCGAACTGCGATGGTATGACGACACTTTCTGCATACTCGAAGACGAGTTGCCGATCCGTAAATTTGTCGATCCTCTTCTGCCCGAGGATGGACTTCCGCCACCACAACATCCTGAGGATGTGTTACCGGCCTTTGTCAGGCGATCCAGTGCGGTGACTGAACCCCTCGAGGAAGACACCCTCTTGCCGGAAGCATGGATTCAAAAATTCCGTCGTAAAACCGACGAGCCTGTTGCGGAGCCCGAGTCTCCTAAGGGCTCCAAAGGTAAAGATAAATCAAAGGGCAAGGATAATTCGAAGAGTAAATCTCCATCAAAGGGGAAAAAGAAGTGATTATTTCGGACACTCGTCGAGTGTCGGCCAGCTTTCGGCTGGCTTTGGACTGTTGTCACCAGTCTTTCACCTACACGAATACTCAGCATTTGATGTTGTGTCAAATAAATCGTTGGGTGATATGCCGTTATGCCTTTTACATTGTCAGTCGCGTTTCTCGTCACTGATTGAAACGGTCACAATCGTTCAACCATCTACCAACAGTGCTTGACCTCTTTTATACTCCGTTTTACTTGGAAGTGAGACCTCATGTGAGCATGAGTTAACATCATCCTGAGAAACACGCCTTCTGACTGCCATCCGCTTATCATATACTCCGAAAGTAGGACAGGATGTGTTGGCTCTGCCTGAATCTGTCACATTCCAGTAGATATGAAGGTGGATCGGTAGCTGAACTGCTATAAAATCGCAGTCAACGTGCCCCCCACACACGTGACTCCTCACTGCACATGAACTTGATTTTAGTTGTTCCGGGGTCTCATCGCTGGGACTTGCCCACGTTCCCAGATCGAAGGAGGACCGGGTTATTCCGGCACTTGACAGTCTTCAAAATCATAATGTTGGGAGCGTCGTGATGGTTCTGGAGCGTGTCCGTTTAACTACAGTGCAGAAATTATGTCAACCCAGCGCTCGTATTCTCCGCCTCTGCCATATTTGAGGCCAAACGCAACTCAAGCCGACTGGATCTAAGACCCCTCGCAGTGGATGACGTAGGATAATGTCCGCGTCCGGTGCCTACCTCTAACCCTTATGAACCACATCTACGTCTGAAGAAACAGGAGCTCAGTCAGCGGTGTTAGCGGAACTGCCGCTTCGGCTTCCGTGAGATGGGCGGTAGCTTTGCCAGAGAAGTATCTGAGTCCATTCACTAATCAGCTATGACAAGCGTCGTTAAGCTCTGCAGACTTGCTACCGGATGTTAGGTGGTCCCGGGTGTTACCGGTGTTACGGGCGACAGCAGTGTCCTGGTTAGGGAGACTAATCGTCGTCAGTGGCATAGGGCCATGTCGCAATACGACTGTCAGATGGCATAATGGGTTTGAACTGTAGAGTCTGCGAGATTAGGGTCACAAGCTCCATTAAGTCTTCGGACTAAGGGTCACAATAGGTAAGATCGTAATTGATTGGCGGGAAAATATTTTTCATGTCTTAAAAGATTTTGCTTCGCTATGTTTAAATAAAAGAAAACTTCACTATGGGAACAAGCTGCATTCCTTGCATTCGGTCACGCGTGAGTTATTTTGGCCTCTGATTGGGCATGCCACCCCCCATGCATTCAGAAGGCAGAACTTTTGGGTCCATTTTGTTAAAAAGACTGTCTTGGAGATCTGACAAGGATTCTAGGACGTCCCCTAGAAATCGAGAGGATGTCTACATATGAATCGGCCAAACTAGGTCACCTCTAATTACCTGTTTAAATTATAGTAGTCATTTCGTCAATTTCGCTACAACGATGTCAACGACCCTGGAGAAAAGACGATTGCAGTTAAGATTTTCAAGACTGACCTACTGACCTCCGACCGTCCTCCGTTGTGTACATGAAACTGATCTTACCCTATGTAGTGACTCGGGAAAATGAGTTCGAGAAGGATCGGGTTAGGGTCAGTTTCATGTCCGGCTTTCCCAGAAGTTGTTGTGCGTCCTAAATAAATAGAGGCTAACTGAGCGAGCGCTGCTGCCAAACGTCTGTCGCAATAAACCATATGGTTAGACTGAAACATAACCCCCACCACCACCACCACCACCACCACCCACCCACCCACCCACCCACCCTACCCGCCCTCGGAATCAATCCCCAGACTGCACTGTCTTCCGCGAATGCGGCAACCACCCTGGTCCACGTCAACTTCATTGTTGAACGCTGTTCATAATGCCTTCGAGAACGGTGCCAGCAGAACCAGCCCCAAAATTCTGTCAAATATTAACACGCACTTTTTTTTAACTGGGCGCTCCCTACCAATCCCTGAATTGTTGAAGTATTTAACTTTGCCCTATCATCATACGCCAAGTTGATTAAATTTTGTATCATATAACTAGAGGTAAATCCTTATTATATTGCCGTTTAGATTTCCAGGTCACCTTTTCCACGGCCTTATGACGCTGCCGTCAAGCAAATGAGTAAGCTGGACATAGGTTTAAATACATAATTTCAAGCGTAGATAACAAAAGGTTGGCTGAGGTACTGAAATCCAAGAGGAGGAATATGAAGAAAATGTCGCCGAAAGTAACATTTCTGAGGTCGACAGCCAAATGCAGATGTTCACCTGGCAAAAGTAACCGGCAGCAATGTAAGCGTGGATTTCAGGTTAGTGGTTACAGTTCAGTCTTCCCAGTTATACTACTGGCACACTGGCTTGCATGTGCTCATCCAGTATAACTTTTCTGTGCCCGAAATATGGTTGTGGCTATTAACCCGGGAATGATCTATTCGGTCCAATCTCGCAAGTGTTCTCGGAGATTTGAGCAAAATGGTGTGCATTTCATAGACTACAAGACAGAACTGATGACTGATAATTGTCGCTCGTATGCCCCTTACATCTTTGCTCCTGTGTAGGCAGCAGAAACGGACGATCACAGAGCCGAAGTTCTATTTGCCAAGCAGAATTCATCAAAGGAGTGTTGTCGGTGGTCCCCCCTAAAACAGGCTAATCAGGTGAATAACTGATGAGTAAAACATACTAAATATAAGCACCTTCTAGACCTCGGCCAGAATTATTTTATGATTAATTAGGAAAGTCCGTTGTCATTACTGTATGGACACGTCTCACAATCTGCTTGCTGTGTTTTGTTAAGCAATTTGACTTTTGACAAATGTCCCTCGTCTAAGTTCTGCACTTAAGTTAGTAAAAATACTGGTCGGAATCATATTCCAATATTTCATTGAAAAAAATTGACACGAAATTTCGAGGTTCGAAGAAAAAGGACTCCCATTTATATATGGAACGTTAGGGACTCTACGGGAATATAAAATGGTAGAGGGGGGGGGGGCGAAACCGACAGATAAACGGGCACGTGGCCCAGTGGTTAAATGCGTTGGACTTCTAACCAACAGGTCGCGAGTTCGAGCCCCAGGTGTTTCACACTTGGGGGTTGCGTATGACTGGCTGACGACGGCTAGTAAGCCAGAAATGGACACTCCAGTCTCCCTTGTCATTGCCGGTAATAACATTCTACCTATATCGTGTGCCGCTGTACGGCTGCTGGGTGGGCTCGAGAGAGAGCCCGTAAGGCACAACGAAACGAGTGAGTTCGTAAGAACGATCGTTGAGCGGCACCTCTACCATTACTGGCTGTCGTCA